CGAAGTAGGGAATTCTGCCACCCTATAAGCATGTTTCTTCCAGTCCTGACATTTTCACTGCTTCCATTTAAAACAAGACATCTTGGCAGATTAAGCTGACACTGGCAGCCACTGATGTGTGGGCAGAGCCGTGAAGCCCAACAGCAAATACTCAGCTGAACACTGTCAACCTCTGCCTTCAGTTTTGCCTTTTGACCTTTCATCTCGCCAAACTGGCCCGAGGACAACGCATCTGCTGCCCCACCCAGAAAAAAACTTGGCCCTAACACAAATCCGTTCTCTCATCCTGCAAATACTCACTGAGCTCCCATTCTGGGTCTAACGCTGAGGACACAGGCTGAACAAAACCAGACAGCTTTTTCTCTCAGGAAGTTGGAGGTCAAGACGGATGGCACGAACACTAAACACTAATTACAAACTGACACCCTTATGGGGAGATGAGGGACCCGGCTGTCTGCTGTAGAGGAATTGGCTCTGTACTGGGGCATCAGGACTCCTAGCAAGGTCATGTCTGAAGTGAGATGTCACAGATGACTTGCAGTGAATGGAGCAAGTGCAAGACGGAACAAGTGCGCAGACGCTGTGCAGGGCCAAACAAGCACACGACGGCCTCGCCACGTAGAGTCCCCCTTTATCTTTGTCCAGATCTGAACCCGGCACGTGACAGAGGTGGCAAAGAAGACTTCTGCTCTTTGATCTCCACCCTCGAACCCATCCTGACTCTGCATGCCCTGACACCAGGCCCATGGGGCCCACCTCTTAGCCAGGGTCTTCCCTCGGACTTTCAGGGCTGCTGGTCTGTTTCACACCTTGCATCACCCACCTGGGTTATTCCAGCATTGTCACAGTTTCCCAGTTCCTTCAACCCTTTACCCCCAGAGTCATCTGCTCCTGGTGTATGTGGCCGTCTCTCTTGGCCTACCCAGAGTGAACCAAAGCTCAGTTCCCTCCAGTCGGCAAACATGGCTGTCACTCACTAGCCTGGCCACAGTCCTCTTCAGTGACTCCCACCCTCTTATCCTGAAACGCAAGCAGCACTCAGAGAGCGTGAACACCTTTAGCTTCTGTTCACCTGCCATAAATGCAGGTACAAGCCAGCCCTTGATTTCCACCTTTAGCTTCTGTTCACCTGCCATAAATGCAGACACACGCCAGCCCTTGATTTCCACCCCCAGTACTTTCAAGAGAGCAGCTACCTACCAGGCTCCTTAGATTGCTCCCGACAGCTTCTTCTGCACTACACAGACGGCCACGGTCTGCTGGGTAACACGGAGTCAGCAACAGAGACTTCAAGGACTGGGAAAGAAACCCCAGACGGCCAAGTGTAGCAGTGAGAGCACTGAGCATCGCACACCCTGGGGAATGCCAAGCTGTGGCAGGCTTGGGGTCGACGTGCCCCGACCTTACGTGTCCATCATCGCTGCAGTTCCCAAGCTGGATGCCTCCCTCTGTGGTCCCAGCAGGGGCTGCACGCTTGCTGACCCAGCCACACGGGGGTGTGCAAGGGGCTTCCCATGCACAGACCAAGGACTAGCGAGGGGTTCCAAGCCATCTCTGTTCTGGACAAGGCTCCGGAACAATCGGAGGGGAACAGAATCAGCTCAGACCACGGGTGCTCACAGCAGCTGCACCGTCATCCGGGAACTCAGGAAAGCAAATCCCTGCGAATCAGAAACACCGGGGGGAGCAGCAGGCACTCTGGGCTCTAACCCGCCCGCCAGGTGAGTCCAACTGCGGCGTGCCCATGCGAGAGCCACGGGCCAGCCCTGCTCGGGAAGCCCCTTCTGAAGCTTGCTGACTCCAGAGGGCGGGACGCCCTCCTCACTGCAGTTCACATGTGTACCTTAGGCTCTGCCCAATTTGAGACGACCTCCTCTTTCTAGGTGAGGCCACACTGTAACGTTGTGCTCCAACAAGAAACTTCCCAGGACACCAAGCGCGAGAGACCAGCCCAACGTTGGCAGATGCCTGTCGTTCTCTATGAAATACCACGCCCAACAGCTTCTCAAACTCATACTCACGTTTTCTCCAGTCTTCCGCCTGAAGGTGGGACTCTAACTCAGCAGTGACGGAGGCAGCTGGCGGTTTCTCCCCGCCGCCCGGCCAGCAGCCTCTGCAGGGCCCACCAGGCCGTGTTCCCGCAACCCAGGCAGGGCTCCCTTCCACACAGTGCTTTCTCGAAGGCAGAGCGGATAAGCACCAACAGAAATCCGGTTACACCTGGGCCTTATTTGGGAGGCAAAAGGACATGTTTTTCCCAACCCATTTATGGAAACCAAGTATCAGAGCAGCAAAGAACGACGGTGCCTCAATCAAGGAACTTTGAACATAGCGTTGCTGGTGCGGTTCTTGCAGAGCCAAGCAGCAAGTCAACCAGAGATGGCCCAAGGGCCTTGATAAGCCTGGCACAGGGTATTAGCAATCGATGATGCAGAGCCTCTTTATCATGGAAGGATCTGGACTCTCAGAGCCCTTTTCTTCTGAATGTGAAATAGACTATAATCCCAGGAGATGTTGGAAGTGGATGTGTTGGGAACAGAATGAGCTGTTGTCACTGGCTCTGTATGGCTGACACACGGGTCACCGCCAGAGCATGGAGACCCTTCCCAGTCCATCTCCGTCATTTGTCTTGGAAACAAACAGCAACTAACTGTGCGCAATCTATCAGGGAAGAAATCTACATGCAGGAGAGGTGTGCAATTCCAGAGTGACCGGAGAATGAGCTGTGGGGGATACACAGCCAGGAACAAAGGTCACCGTTTTATTTATTTGACAGGTAGAGTTATAGACAGAGAGACAGAGAGAAAGGTCTTCCTTCCGTTGGTTCACCCCCCAAATGGCCGCTACAGTTGGTGCTGCACCAATCCGAAGCCAGGAGCCAGGTGCCTCCTCCTGGTCTCCCATGCGGGTGCAGGGCCCAAGCACTTGGGCCATCCTCCACTGCCTTCCCAGGCCACAGCAGAGAACATAGTCATGTGAGGCATAGCGTTTTCCATTATTCTTAAGCTAAAATGTGAGATTTGTATTTGAAAGAAGAAATATCCCTTAAAAAAAAAAAGCCTATGTTTGGGGGGTGGGGCATCAGGAATACATTTAATAAACAGTTGGGAGCAATGTGTCTTTAAGCTTTAGAGGCACTATCTTAACTATTTAAAAATTTTTTTTTACCCTTTCTGGATGAAATTTTTATACGTTAACTTTACATTTCAAACTGTGAGTCTTAAGAATTCTGAGTCTCATTTTTTTATTTTATTTATTTATTTAGACAGGCAGAGTGGACAGTGAGAGAGAGAGACAGAGAGAAAGGTCTTCCTTTGCCGTTGGTTCACCCTCCAATGGCCGCCGCGGCCGACGCGCTGCGGCCCGTGCACCGCACTGATCCTATGGCAGGAGCCAGGTGCTTTTCCTGGTCTCCCATGGGGTGCAGGGCCCAAGCACCTGGGCCATCCTCCACTGCACTCCCTGGCCACAGCAGAGAGCTGGCCTGGAAGAGGGGCAACCGGGACAGAATCCGGTGCCCCAACCGGGACTAGAACCCGGTGTGCCGGCGCTGCAAGGCGGAGGATTAGCCTAGTGAGCCGCAGCGCCGGCCTTTTTTTTATCACTTAAATCAGACCCACCTTACTGAGCCTTCAGCGCTTGAGAAGACGGGGGCTGGCATAGTGGCGGAGCAGGAACAGCCGTCATCTGTGACATCGGCATATGGGCACCGTTCCTGTCCTGGCTGTTTCCTTCCAATCCAGCTCCCTACTGATGGCCTGGAAAGCAGAGGACAGCCCGTGTCTGGGCCCCTGCCATTCGCGTGGGAGACCTGGATGAGCTCCTGCCTCCTGGCTTCAGGCTGGCTCAGCCATCTGGGGAGTGAACCAGCAGAGGGAAGGTCTCTCTTTCTCTCTCTATCTCCCCCTCTCTCTGTAATTTTTACTTTCAAATAAACATGTCTTTTAAAAAGTAGTAAGAGACAACATGGGGACTGGGATTTGTATTTTACACAAGTGCAGAGCTCTGACCCCCAGTGGACTCACAGTCAGGACTGGAGGCCTCGGATAGGTGGGGAGGGGCCCGTCCTTGGCTTCGTGCGAGAGCTGTGTTTGCTCTCTCTCCACGCGGAGGGCCGGTGTCACCTGCAGCCTGCTGGCTCTTTGTCCCCCGTGCCCAGTGCGCCTCACTTGAATAAGCTGCCAAGGCAGTCCCGCGAAACAAGCAGCCAGCGTGAGACCTGAAATCTGAAATCTCTCAGTCTCTTCTCTGGCCTGTGTAGTGAGGACCCTCTTTGAGGAAGGAAGTGAAACTAACAAGTAGCTGAGTTTTATCTTTATAGGATATTTCTGAAACAAATGTTTTAAAAAACTATTTTGTTGACTCGAGAGGCAGCAGGTACTTGGGTAACTGCCACCCACGTGACAGCATGGATGGAGCGCTGGGCTCCCGGTTTCAGACTGGTCCAGCCATGCTGTTGCAGGTACCTGGGGAGGGAACCAGTGGCTGGAAGATTCTCTCTCTCTTCCCCCCACCTTTCAAATAGATAAATAAAATTACAAAAATGTTTAATGTGAAAACTAGCACCCATCCACAAAGTAAAGTGGAGAAATGCAGGTGCAGCTGGACATGCAGAGATAAGGCGGACCCTTTGCTAACAGGTAGGGCCCAGGGCCTCCCGGACCCCACCCTCTCAGCTCCGCGCAGATGAACCTGCTGGTCCCCATGACCTTGCTCGTCCAGGCAACCAAGGTCACCGCTGTCCTCACATTTATGGGAATCACTTATTATTTGTCTTGCCATCTAGGTTCAGATCCCTACATTACAGAGTTTGATTTAATTCCTTTCAGGAGTAATGTCCCATGGTTCGTATTTCAGAACATTTCATGGCTAGTGAGCAAGGAAGGCACTTGGCAGCTACCCGAACAATGCCCCCTTACCTGTATCACACACAGGCAACTCAGAGTCACCCAGGCAATGGCCATTTTTGTACAGTTAGAGAAAGAACAGCAGCGTGGAAATAATTCATAGCAATATGTTTATTTAAGCACAAGCTAAGCCTTCATTTACAAGCAAATATTTGCAGGGGTAAAAATCACATAAGACAATATTTTCAAATGTTACACACTCTACATAAAAATTAAACTTGCAGAATTTACAAATTAATATTCTGAGACGACAGATCATTATACATCCTTTTGCAAAATCCAATCTACAGCATTAAAAAATTCATACAGATACAACACAAGATAGTCTCTCTTTACAATCTACCTATGTACATAGCTTCTCGCACCACTCGTGATAATACTTCTCGTCACAGCTACCAAGGTTTGCAAACCTAGTGTGTTTAAAATATATTTAGCAGCATATAAAAAATTAGGTAAAAGGGGAAGGCAATGCTACCATTAAATAAAAAAGAAATTAAAAGGCAATAATAGAAACAAATCCATAGGAAAATAGATCAAAATGTATTTCTGTTAGGACATCAAATGTTTCCCATCACAGAACATATGCACAGCACTAACAAAACAACCATGTGACAGCATTTTAGTCCTGAGCACAGAGGATAGATAGCACAGATGCAAAGCTTTGGTCAATACAAGGAAATGCCGGCACTGAACACAACTGTGAGAGTCTTTGTTAGTAGTCTACAGCCAATGCCACACAGTGAAAGATCACTGATCATATCTTGTTCTCATTATTCTCCATGACATGGAACAGCTTTCAAATCTGGGAACCTTCTAAAAACTGATACCAATGCCAGACAAGCAGATGGCAAAGTGGCTAATATCTCCAGTGTGTTTGACACGTCAACTGTGTGCACAGACTGCACAAATGCGTTACCAGGGAGGTGGGCTGTATTCCAGGTGTATTTCTGACTGTCACGGAGGCAGACTTCTTATATTGAATAATTTGAAGGTTTTTTTTTTTTTAATAGCTAGGCACAAAAAAATCCAGCCAATAAAGAAGTGCAAATCAAGCAAAACATCAATTGTAGGATATGTATGTGTTGGGCAATATTGAAATTGAGTACACAGGATAGTACAGTTTTATTAGAATACCATGTCTATGCAGCAGCTGGATTCAGATATATTTTCCAGTTTATCCCATTCGTGGGTTTTACCTAATAAATGCAAGACAGAATTTTCCACAAAGAACATATAGTTATCACAGTATTTAGTTCATGACTTATCCTCATTCATGTTTAATTACTGGCAATCTCTTCCCCCAGATCTCCCGTGTCAGAAATCTGACCATCTTGCAAATTGCGAGCCTTCCAAATCCTCACGGTTCGATCACTGGAAAGCAGAAAATTAAAAAAAAAGGATAAATGAACAGAGGCAGAAGAGATGACTCTCAGCATGACGTATCTTTAACCAGTGCAAGCACAATACACAGGTGTCATAGGTCGAGCAAACACTCACCGTAACAGCGATGGCAGCCCTCAGTATCAGGGCCCAGAGGTGCAGACATAACAGTGTCTGTGCTCCCCACACACACGAACACCTCACACCCCCTTAACCACCACTAGACCTGGGTGCGGCAAGGTTCCCTTCTCACTGACTGAGGCCCACATCAGAGACTCAGTGACTGACAGGAGATGTGAACGCAGGAAGATGCGCACGGACCCAGGGCTGGACGAGCTGAGGCTGGGGCAGGGGGAGGCTGGAAATGGTGAGAAGCACTATCTTGGGGTGAAAACCCACAGAAAAAGCATCAGGCTACGGAGAAATGCCATCTAGCATAGAACACACACGCTTACAAGCATTTCTGATATCCCATAACTACACAGTTACAATGTGTCAATCTAAAATAAAGCTTTGCATTAAAAAGGACAAAAGTGTTTCTGAGGTTCACACCTTCCAGTGGCATTACTTGCACTGAATTGCCCAGGACACAGCAATTTCCAAGAAAATACATGAAATCGGTGATGTTTCAGGAAAGCAGTGCATCCTGAAAACAGCATAATTGGGGTTGGTGTTGTGGCACAGCGGGTAAAGCCACCTGCAACTCCAGCACCCCATGGGGACCCAGTTCAAGTCCCGGCTGCTCCACTTATGATCCAGCTCCCTGCTAATGAGCTTCAGAAACCAGCAGCAGATGACCCAAGTACTTGGACCTCTGTTCCCACAGGGGACACCAGGAAGAAGCTCCCGGCTCCCAGCTCCAGCCCGGGCCAGCAAAGGCCATTGTGGCCATTTGGAGATTGAACCAGCAGACTTAAGATATTGCTCTCTCTGTCTCTCTGCAACTGTTTCAAATAACATAAATACATCTTTCATAAAAATATTATCAATGAAGCACTGAAGGTAAGCACCTCAGAAAAACAAAATAAACTAGCTTTGATGTACCCTAGAAATGTACGTCCATCTAATGAAAAGAAGCATTCAAAGGAAACAGCACAAATAAAAGAAATGATACAGAGGCAGGCGCCACGGCTCACTAGGCTAATCCTCCACCTTGCGGCGCCAGCACACCGGGTTCTAGTCCCGGTTGGGGCACCAGATTCTGTCCCGGTTGCCCCTCTTCCAGGCCAGCTCTCTGCTGTGGCCAGGGAGTGCAGTGGAGGATGGCCCAAGTGCTTGGGCCCTGCACCCCATGGGAGACCAGGATAAGTACCTGGCTCCTGCCATCGGATCAGCGCAGTGCACCGGCTGTAGCGCGCCAGCTGCGGCGGCCATTGGAGGGCGAACCAACGGCCAAAGGAAGACCTTTCTCTCTGTCTCTCTCTCTCACTGTCCACTCTGCCTGTCAAAAAAATAAAAAATAAAAAAATCATAAAAAAAAGAAATGATACAGACACAAAGTACATCAGGACATTCATGCATTTGAGATAGATGGAATCACAGTGGTGTTGGAGCTAAAATAACATAGCCTGTGCACAAATGAAACAGGGAGAGGAGATACACACTCAGGAGGAATCGCATTTCATTTGAATGAGACCAAAGCTTCACATTATAATAGACGCGCTTTCTTTTCCAAAGTACTTACGTGGATGTCATTCCCATGGTCAGCACTTTCGAGCCCCTCAAGCCCCTTCTGTAACGTCACTTTCCCACAGAGGCCTTGCCTGACCACCCTGAGGGGTAATCCCTGCCTCATGAAACACCCACGCCCTCCCCAGCTCATTTCTCCCCATCACACTTGCTACTGCCTAACGTTCTGAACTCATTTATAATGTCTCCGCTGATCAGAATGCAGACTGGGGTTTGGTTTACTGCTCTATTCCCAAGAGTCTGGAATGGTGCTGGGAACATGGAAGATTTACTGTGAATGAGACAAGCAAACATCTCTTAGACATCAAAGAGAGGGTGAAACAGAGGGAAGGAGGAAGGGAGGGAGGGAAGGAAGAAAGAAGGAGAGAGGGTGAGATTGAGAGAGAAAGAGACATCTTCCACCTTCCAGTTCGTTCCCCAAATGGCTGCAACACCCAGGACTGGGCCAGGCTGAAGCCAGGAGCCAGGAACTGCATCTGGGTCTCCTACATGGGTAGCAGGTGCTTAAGTCCTTGGTCATTCACCTGCTGCTTTCCCAGACACATTAGCAGGGAGTTGTATTAGAAGTGGAGCAGCTGGGGGGCTGGTGCTGTGGCACAGCGGGTTAACGCCCTCACTTGAAGTGCCGCCATCCCATATGGGCGCCGGTTCTAGTCCTGGCTGCTCCTCTGTCCGATCCAGCTCTCTGCTATGGCCTGGGAAAGCAGTAGAAGATGGCCTAAGTGCTTGGGCCCCTGCACCCATCTGGGAGACCCAGAAGAAGCTCCTGGCTCCTGGCTTTGGATCAGTGCAGCTCCAGCCGTTGCGGCCATCTGGGGAGTGAACCAGCGGATGGAAGACCTCTCTCTGTCTCTACCTCTTTCTGTAACTATCTTTCAAATAAATAAAATAAATGTTTAAAAAAAGAAATAAGTGGAGCAGCCGGGACTCACACTGGAATTCTGCACTCTGATTTTGGATGCTGGCATCATAAGCAGTGGCTTAACCCATCGCACTACAGCACCCGGCCCCAAGTTTGTTTTTTGTTTATGTAAATTTAACAATTTGTTCTAAATATGAAACAAAGGCAAATTTTTTACCTTTCTAACAACAAATATCTTTAGAAATTAGTCACCTATGAATTATATTTTAAAAACTAAAATCACTAGCAGAGACTCGGCATCAGACTTCCCATGACAAACCATGTACTAACACAGGAGCAACACTCTCGTCACGTAACCTGGGGACCTGAAGCCAGTGCCCACAGTGTGCACCACAAAACACACACAGAACAACTGAAACAGACCAGAGGACAGCAAGAAGACGCTCCTGCGTGCAATGCTTTAAATATCGGCCAAGTACAATACTTGTTAAATGTGCACACGGGTAACCAACATAGAGAAAATTCACATAGGAAAAACGTACTCAGCTGCAGTAAAAATGTGGGTGGAATTCACACAAATGGCGTTGATGGGACTGTCGTGCCCCTTCATCTCGCCGACGGGAGCGAAGGTGTCCACGTTCCAGAGTTTCAAAACGCCCCCTCTGCAGCCGCTGAGCAAAACCGGGTGGCCCGGCACCACTCCCAGGGCACAGACCCAGTCCTTATGTGCGTTCGGAACTTGCTAAGGAAAAAGAGAGAAACCACAGCTGAAATCGTCATACCAAAATAAGTTATAAAACTTCTATGGAGAAGGCTCAAACCTGTAAAAAACGGACGGCCTAAGAACTGTGAGACATCACTCTCTATGCAGTCACTCAGTGATTTTAAAGAAATAAACCTAGCGAGCAGCACTGTAGCGTGGTAGGTTAGCATTCGTCTGGTACCAGCATTCCATATGGGCGCTGGTTCGTGTAACGGCTGTTCCACTTCTAATCTAGCTCTCTGCTATGGCCTGGGGAAGCCACAGAAGATGGCCCAAGTGCTTGGGCCCCTGCACCTGTGTGGGAGACCAAGCAGAAGCTCCCGGTTCCTGGCTTTGGATCCGTGCAGCTCCAGCCATTGCAGCCATTTGGAGAGTGAACCAGTGAATGGAAGGCCTCTCTCTCTGTCTCTCCCTCACTCGGTCTATAACTATGCCTCTCAAATAAATAAATAAATAAATAAATCACTGAATGAATCTCTCTTATATATATACACACACACACACACTTTGCTCTCCAATTTGTCTACTTTCATTATTGTTCTCCGTATTAAAGGCCCGTCAAGTTAATGGTGTACAGAATTTAACAGACCCACAAATTTTACAGAATTTTCAAATGTCACATCCTCATCACTGGCAGTCAATATCTCAACATTTCCCAAAATCTCTCTCCTTTGGCCAAAATGTATTTAATAAAACAAATCTGAGAACTACAACCTTTATAGAGGACTATAAAGGCCTGCCTCATACAATCACTAACTTCAACCACTGACTTGAAGCTTCATGGAGGCCTGCAGATTTTTGCAGAAGACCAGAGGTGATCTTTACATTTCATAATAATTAGAAGATGAGAATGTGGGACTACATTTGAGGAATATATATAAGTGCTCAGTATAAAACCACAGTCATGAATACCTGCCTATAAAAAGTTTCTGAATGTATAACATGCATCTGTTGCCAAGATTTTTCTATGAATATTCATGCTACTTATTCACTGGGTTTTCACTTGCTGGTAACACAGGAGATGTGTTACAGCTACGATGCACACAGATGTATGCAACAGGTATATACATGTATGGGGAAGCTTGGAATGGAGAACATTTTCATCTGTCAACAAGCTCTTCCCCTGGGAGTTGGAAGACGACGTATTTGAATTTATAGACAAAACATTTCAACCCGACTTCCTTCTGCAGGACATGAAGAACCTCCACTCTCGTACATAAGAACTCTTATACTACTCCTACCTTGGCCAAACTTGGTACACTTTACGATCCGTATATATAAAGAAAAACAAAAATGAGAAACCACAACTTTTCTATGCACCATAGGTGATTTTATTTAATCAGCACACCTAGGAGGAATTCTGATCTTTCAGTTCTTAGTGTCTATTCTGCCCTGAGCGGGAGGGTATGATTATTAAATTTTGACTGTTTCCGTCTCCCTAGTTAGCAATGGGCAGTTGATAACGAAACATTCCTTAAGAGGAAGCCCTGATTAACATTATCTCTCAACAACAATATCTACAAGGAAGCCCTTCCGGGCCTGGTATGGACAGTATTGAGTGGTTTTGAAATGCCTGCTGCACACCAGGAGAAGGTGTGCAGTACCTGAAGTAGGTCTTTCTGCGCCAAGTCCCATTTCTTGATCCCATTGTCTCTGGACCCGCTGAAGAGATTGTCCCCTTGAATGGTCAGCGCTTCTATGCCGTCATAATGAGGAGGCTCAAAATTGTGGGTGGGACTCACCGTTCCAAGAGCGCCTTCAGTTACATCAAACATCTGAGAATCAGAAAGAACACAGTTGTCACGTAGCTTACAGATAGGCACCTACAGGTGTACATTCAGACACACAAACACACACATATGTGAATCAGATGCAATTTGATTTTGGTTTTTATAGTAAGTATTCTTTTTACAATTTATTTTATTTATTTAACAGGCAGAATGAAAGGGAGGAAGAGGACAGAGGAAGAAAAAGATCTTCTATCCACTGGTTCACTCCCCAGTGACTGCAAAAGCTAGGGCTGGGCCAGGATGAAGCCAGGAACCAGGAGCCAGCAACTCCCAGTGTCTCCCACATGAGTGGCAGGGGCACAAGTACTTGGGCCATGTTCTACTGCCTTCCAAGGTGCATTCATGGGGAGGCGGAGCAGAATCTAAGCGGCTGGGATCTGGAACATGCGCTCTAATAGGGACAGCAGCGTCTCCAGTGGCAGCTTCACATGCTGTACCAGAACACCAGCCCCCGACATGATTTGTCACGACGTTTTTCTAAGTCCATTAAGTTAACCTGGCGGGGACAACACTTGGGGTGAACCTGAGCTCCAGCCCACACTAGCTGGACTTGCAGGTCGCATGCTTACATCCCTGCGGGCTTCTAAGAAAGGCAGCCAGGTTTCTTAATGCGTGCTTGCACAATTGATATGCTCCATGAGAACAATGCTACATATCAATCAGCTGAAATGCAAATAAATAATTTGACTGTAATGTAATTAATATTAAGTGACTCTGCAGCTGGGCGGTCACCTCTAACTCTCCAAAGTTGCTGTTCGAAACCTCTTTATGTTCTCAGTTGTCCACATCTCTCTCAGCTACTGGCTTAGTGCTTTTCTGAAAATGCTAATGTGCGTTAAAACTAAGTAAATAAATAAAATTTTTCGACTCCCTCCTCCTCTCTAAAAGTTTCATTTTATCATCAAACATCCTCTCACCCTCCCGTTCTCAGAGGTTCAGTGAGGCTCTTGTCTTTCCAGGTTCACACCTGTGACCTGAGCCTGTCTCCTCCCTAGTCAGCTGTCCCCACGCCACTCCATAAGCTCTCCCTCTCCATTGAGACCGTCTCCTGTGCAGACACCTCCACGTTGCTGCTACATAACAGCCGTCCCTCTTAACCACTTTATGTGAAAGCCACTGATCCATCTCTCACCTCTTACTCAAAGTTTCTAGAAACAGTATTTACACTTTTCCTACTTCTCTTCTTAAATTCTGATTGTTTCTTAAAGGCTTTCCCCAGGGCTGTCCTCAGTGCACCTCTCTAGCCCTTGGCCAAGTCTTCAACACTACTTCCCCAAACACCTGCTTCTATTCCAATGCCTGCAACTCCATCACAGCTTCTCTAGAGATCTGGATTTGCATTTCTAATGGCCTGCTGGTCTACAGGAGGATATTCTTTGTTAGTAAATTGAATTTAACATTTTTAGAACTATGCATCTTTCCTCACCTTAGCTGCTTATTCCACAAAATTCTGAAGACCATAACACTTCACTATACAAGATAGTGATGAGACAGAGCATTGGCTGGAAGATGGAGCTAAAAGATCATTAAAATCCCTCCTGGCCAGTGCCGTGGCTCAACAGGCTAATCCTCCGCCTTGCGGCACCGGCATACTGGGTTCTAGTCCCAGTTGGGGCGCCGGATTCTGTCCCGGTTGCCCCTCTTCCAGGCCAGCTCTCTGCTGTGGCCCGGGAGTGCAGTGGAGGATGGCCCAAGTGCTTGGGCCCTGCACCCCATGGGAGACCAGGAGAAGTACCTGGCTCCTGCCATCAGATCAGCGCAGTGCGCCGGCCGCAGTGCGCCAGCCACAGTGCGCCGGCTGCAGTGCGCCGGCCGCGGCGGCCATTGGAGGGTGAACCAATGGCAAAGGAAGACCTTTCTCTCTGTCTCTCTCTCTCACTGTCCACTCTGCCTGTCACACGACAGTAAAGCCAGCAACTACGAATGAGGAAAGATCAGGAAGAACAAGCAAAGGACATACAACATAAAACAAAACAGAGAGAAACAGGTCCCTGATGAGCGGAACCCGGCAAACCCACCACTCAACAGGCAAACAGAAGGGAACACCCTGTTCTACATACTTTGATGTAATGGTCCTTGGACCCAGTGACAATGAGGTCCTGTCCACTGGAGATCTGATCCACAGTCAGGCACATCACAGGGCCCAGGTGTCCCGTTAACTTTCCTGTGGACTGAAACCTTCACACAGGGGGAAAAAGGACTCACTTGAAAATATTTCTTAGCATAACAAATGAACCCTCAACATAAATCACCTACATTCCTTATAAAAAACTTAATTTTTTGTTTATTTGAGCTGCACCACTATGAAACTCCATTCAAATTAAAATCCCAAAAACGGCCTAACACATTCTATGACGAAAGCTGGGGGCAGTTCTCAGCAAATGATTCAAAAGCTGACTAATGTCATTTAGGTGATAAACAAAACAACAGCAAAGCTCTGAAAAATTGATAAAGGCTAATTTTAACTCCAGCCTAAGTCTAGGGAAATTTGAATAAAAATGTCTGGCCACATAACAGACATATGACTGATCGTATCAGGCTCAATTTGGAATCTGAGTTAAACAACTCTATCATTGATTTGACTACAACATCAATAAAGCCATGGAGAAAGTCAGATTATTTTATTATATGCACATTTTCCCACACATGCATATATGACATATCCACATGTGCACATAAATACTCCAGTGTGCTCCATTCTATCGATTAGAATAAAGAGATGATTTTCCATTAACTTCCGAGGTTAAGTTTGATTTCTCATGCACAACTACGTTGTTAAGAATATAATCATATTGGCTGTATGAAAGCGGTACATTTTCTTGAAAGCTCTACCTTTTAAGATCCCACATTCTGACGGCGTTTCCAGAAGCCGCGTAGAGGAAAGTGCCAGTGGGGTTCAGTGCAATCTGGTTGATTTGGTTCTCTCCAGAAGGGATCGCGACTGTCCGGCTGGTGCTTGCAGAACAAGCATCCCCAAGGGTAACTTGACCAGAAGACCTGCAGAGACACAGGACACAGCAACACAGGTCACACTGCCAGGCAGGAGCTCAGCACGGAATTCCCTGCACTTCCAGGGAACTGGCTGTGGGCAACAACCAGAACCATGTCTTTCTGTCCTTGTAGGCGCAGCGCACAATAACCAACACAGAGGTGGCACGTACAAATATGTGTCTGGTGAGTAAGTGAATTTGTGAATGGATAAAACAGACGGTATGCCTTAAAACTCTTAATGTGTACATCTACTGCAATGCTAGAAATGCAATGACTTCGAACAACCCTCATCTCGACTGCTGAAGGACAGTTTTTTTCTTTCATACAATTTGTTGAACTCTACTTTCTATAGAGTTAATTGTTTGTATATAAAGTTAATTGAAAATATATCTTAGTAAAAAACAAGAAGGGGAATAGGAGAGGGAGGATGCAGAGGGGTGGGAGCGTGGGTACAGTGGGAAGAATCAGTGTGATGCTAAAGTTGTATTTACGAAATGCATGAAACTGTACTCCTTAAATACAATGTTTCTGGGGCAAGAAAACCTCTACTATCTCTATGAATCAGTAAAAATCATCTTTTACAATACTCTCTTCCCTTCAGTGAACAGAGTTCACCTCAACTATGAGTATATAAAAGTTCATTCATGTCATGGCAAAAATTATAATTGTTCTAAGTTTTTAAAGACATTTATGATAGACAGAAATTATCCAGCATAACCTGCAGTTGTGAAATTTGTACTAACACCAAAGCGGACACACTCCTAAAAGACACTCAGTTATTCAATGCTTGCACGACTTCACAGTCTACACATGATTTCAGCCATTTTCCAAGGAGTGGTATTCATTTGAAGCAGGCAATGTAAATCATTTCACTCCATCAAGTACTAAACTGTATGAAAATGCAGTACCTTAAAATACAAAATGTCTACTTAGTCACAGACCAAACAAGCTTTATCTCTGCCCATTTAATACCAGCTCTTGCATTTTATCTTGTCAATAGTTCTTGTGTTTAGCCCCTGTTGTTATCTGTGCTTTTATTGTGAATACTTTAACATACTCTGGGAAGTAAACAGGTGTACAAAAATTAAAATGCATTTATAGTCCTATATTTTCTTACATTTTGTAAAAAGTAAATATTTGCTCATTGTGCTGTGTTTCTTTGAGTTACTTACGTCAGTGTCCGGATGCACTTTGCGGAATCTCTGATATCCCACACCTTAATATAAGATGTTGACACAGTGAAGACCAGACTGGTATAATTACAGTACTTTACAGAAATGACATTGTTGGGATGGCCTCCCAGGGACATTATCTCCTGCCCAGTCACTAGATTCCACACTTTACAAGTCCGATCTGAAACAAACAAGAACAGAGGAAACACCGTCAAAGTGAACTATTTTAGGTTGTTTTAACAATAAAAATTATTTAAACACTGTATCTTCCTGGGGAAGACAAGAGAAATGAGAGATGAAAATAGTTAGGATTCATTTAACCAACAACAGGCACCCCCAACTCCATCCTTGATCCCTATAACAGGTTCAAGGGCAAGGTACATCTATCAGATGGGAAGAAAGTCAGGGATGCCTGGTAGACGCATTATGTGGTAGGAAAAAAATTAGATGAAATGTTCTCATAGACTCGACTCAAACTGCCCCAGAACCTCAGGTGGCCACCTCATGTCAGCTTCTGGAAATCACTTGGCTTTAGCCTCTCCTACCTCACAACACTCTCCACACTCACATACTGTTCTTTTCCAGGTACACTGATGGATGGATTGTATATTTTAAGGCCAATAACATAATCACAAAACTATTCTATTATGTATATCTGGTATGTTGAATATCTATTCTAGAGAGATAAATTTAATCTCAATTGTAAGAAAAGTTTGAGGTAGATTTTTTAAACTGCAGAATTGCTTGCCATTATTCTCAACTCAAAAGCCCCAGCTAGATTCTTATACTTCCCTTATAGATGGTGAATAGACACTTGCTTGTTAAATTGAATCTTGGCATACCCTAAAAGTAAAGACTCTCTCTTGTTCCCCAAATTCCTCTACAGGCTGCCTTTTTATCTTTCTAGCCTCAGTGTCCACTACTTTTCTTACAGACATTCTACTTTAAACCCAACTGGACTCACTTTCCAAACACACCCTGCTTCACCTCCGTGTTATTCTGTCATCTTGACTGTTAATCCTTATTTGTCAATATCCAAACCACCCTCTAAGGTTCACCCCAAATGCCTTCTCCTCACGGTTTTCCATGTTTCTCCTAGCTGGGCATATTTCTCCCTTTTCTGGAGCCCTGTAACTCTTAACCTATAACTCTTCAAAGCAACTGGAGTTTATTTCCAGTTGCTTGCAGTTGTACTAAAGGGATAAAGAGTGTAGGACTGGAGATGAGGAGACTTGGGTTTCTAGTCCTAGTTTGTATGTTTACTAGCTAAAGTTACCGGGGGAAATCGCATGTCTTGAATCTTGAGTTTGTTCACCTGTATGATGAGGCTGTAACATGCAACTCACTGTCATTATTGTGAGAATTAAATGAGATAGATATGTGCAGTGCTTAGCACAGATCATGATATACAGCAAATATTCAAGAAACAGTGGTAATTATCCATTTCATTCTCTTTACCACATCGTTCATTCTAATGGCCTTTAATAAATCTGTATATTCATATAACCTGTAGGACACAATCCAGAACCTTGCACCCCGTGGGTGTCCAAATAGTGAGGGGAGGTATATTCTCTTACCATTGTATTCACAAAACATCAAAGGAGGTTTTACTTTCTAACTGTACAACAATTTTAAATTTTAAATAATACAGGGGTTGAACAAGATGATCACATCTTACAGGAATTAAACACTACGGATTTTTTTTAGAGCCTGTTAAAAACATCATCATAAAGCCTGCTCAATATCTGCATTAGGTAACGACTAGCACCTTTGGATCCAGTGAACAGGAGATCATCAGTAGCATCCACACACAGCACAGCTTTTGTGTGCCCTTCAGCTATGTGGACACACTGAAGTGGGGACGTTCTGATTCCTTTCGAAGCAGGAAATGGGTTGATGATGCCCCTGAAGTGAGGGTGGAGAAAAAAAAAAAAAATCAAGATTCACTTCAATAGTAACGTCATAAGACCAGGTTAGTTCTTTACCCTGACTCTAAGAAGTCTTTGTAAGTAACTAGAGATAAAATTCAGACAGCCCCTTCGTTCTTGCTGAAGCAAAAGCACAAAGTGTGAAATTCTAATCACGATGATGGCGTGCACAAACTGGACATCGGCTAGCAGTAGCAGTGTGCAAAGAGGAAAACCTCAGCTATATCTTACTTTCTTATCAACAATTTCAGTTCTGCAAAGTTTAATGACATTGGGAGCTGTTTGAGTGTCCTGAATTCTAACAACAGGAAAGAAGTGGCAATGAGTAAATGCAGGATATGACTCCACGTCACACCAAGCATGAGTCTATGTTAAAAGGGGCATGCTGGAGAAAGTGTAATATATACTGTCTACACTGCAAATGCATATTCTGAACAAAAAGCAAAGAAAAGATAGAAGTGACAGTGTGGACAGAAATTCTAAAGGTGGAATTGTTGAAGAAGGTCAAAAACTTAAAGAAAAAAAAAACAAGAAATCTCCAAGATTTCAAAAAACAATGAGAATTTAAAATAACAGCGAAGCCCTTTACAGAGCTGTCTTAGAAATTTAGCATTTGGGGTTTCTGCTTCATGCCACCGAACTATGCAATTTGGAAATGTAAAGACTATGAAAGTATTGTTCCTGTCCTAAAGGGTATACATTGAAATAATTGTTGGAAAGCCTAAAGACAAAAATGGATTGCGACATGATAAAGGTATTGGCCAAATATATATAATGTGACCATTATAGGAGGCAGATAGCATAATACAATAGCAAACACAGGGATAGTGCAACATTGTTTTGTTTCCATCTTCTTGATGAAAGATAACATCTTCCACAGGCAAGGGGCACAATGATTAAACAGAAATGTGAGCCCAAGCTAAGTTAGAGTTGACCATGAAGATGTACTCCATGAACTCAAGTATTTGAGGTATCTTTAAATAATTACATCATCAGGCTTTGAAAATGCATGCCACAGTGGAAGCAAATTCATTGTAGACAATCTCAGAAATCAAAGATCAAGAGAGGACACAGAACATGTAGACCTGATTGTCCAAAAAGCAGGGGAAAAGTGGGCTTCATAAACTACAGATGAGTACGACTTCCTGTTGTATCTCACAGATGGAAAGATTAAATAAATCATTATAAACACTTAAAAATACATGATCATCCATAAGAAATAATATGGGACTATCCACCTCACAGGGAACATTGTCTATACAGATGACAGGCAGCAAATGAGGGGGATGTCATATTCACAATATATGTTGATTCCACTGAAGTCCATACAGTAAGCTTTCAGATGTATCTTCAGGGACAAAGTGGGACATTCAGGAACTGACGTGGTTCCATAGCTGGCTAAAGAGTCATAGCTGAAGGACCAACGCCACTGCCAATTAGGAAGACCTCCAGGGGAGGTGCTGTGGCGTAGTGGGTAAAGCTACCACCTGCAGTGCTGGCATCCCATATGGGCACTGGATCGAGACCTGGCTGCTCCACTTCCGATCCAGATCTCTGCTATGGCCTGGGAAAGCAGCGGAAGATGGCCCAAGTGCTTGAGCCCCTGCAGCCACATGGGAGATCCAGAAGAAGCTCCTGGCTCCTGGCTTTGGATCCTCTTAGCTCCAGCCATTGAGGTCATCTGGGAGTGAACCAGTGGATAGAAGACCTCTCTCTTTCTCTCTCTCTCTCTCTCTCAGCCTCTGCCTCTCTATAACTCTGCCTTCCAAATAAATAAATCTTAAAAAAAAAAAACCTTAGGATCCAGTCACCATTCCCCTATCCTTAAAGACAGCTATGGCAAGGTTATTCAGTTGGCTATTGCACTGGACACTGTATTGTACTACCTAGAAAAGCTCATTTATTTCATGTTCCTACTTACTACTACAAACAATCATTGTATAAAACTTGCACGTAAAATTTAAGCCAAACCCCACAGCAGAATGCTGTAGGTAGGACAGAAGCTCAACACAACCCAAGTTTAAGAAACCAAAGGACAGTGTTACTGAAAATAAAATCAGCGGATGAACAGTCGGGTTCCTCTACCAACACTATCAATGATCTGTCAACAGAAGTCAATATTTCAGTAACAGGCTGCCTAGGCCACATTTGGAATGGCTTTTACTTCTAGATGCCACAGTTTAAAAACACTGAAAAACTAAAGTCGTTCCAAAATAGTAGAAGCAGAATGAAGGATCTGGAGACCACAAAAAGGAAAAGATGACAAACTGGAACTACTGAGCTGATTAAAAGAATCGCTGGAGAGAGGAGACTTCAGCATGGTGACAGGGCTGTCAGAGCACACACATAGGAGGGCACAGTTCCAGTACACTTGCAGAGAGCTAATGCAGGACCAATGGACAGAAACTCAAAGAAGGTCGATTCAGGTTCAGAAAGAAAAGAAAAAGCTTTATATTTAGGGTCTGGTTTTACAGATTTCAACAGTCCAGGGAGCATCCCATCAGTACAAAGGAAAATAGAAAGTGCTTTCTCGGGGGATGTCAGGATGCTGTTAAGAACTTGTCCGTAACTGTCAGTTTGAGTTCCTGACAGCTACGCTCAGTAAGTTGCTAGTAATCTAACAAGTTACCCAGAATCAAACTAAAATGAGAGCAATGCCTCCCCTAAAATCTGAATCTGCCATCCTGAAATCTTGGAGATATATGACTATGGCTGCAGCCATCAAATTTCAGAGACTGCTTCAGAAGAAAAAGGTATGCTTCTCATGAACAGTAGTGCTACCTGTTGTTCAACATAAAGCATATACACACGCATAGCCCAAAACTCTGATTATTAGGAAAAATTCAGTTTAATAGCATAAGAGCTGTTTCTGATGTACATTTAGATACACAAATCATCCTAAAAAAAAACAAACTATCAAAACTGTCCAGTCTTCTCAGGACCATAATTCTATTATTCTGCTTCTCTAAAAGCTTTCCTTCCTTTGGATTACCAGCTCTGAAGACTCTAAAACATGTTCTCCTGCTGATGTGAGATCTAATACAAGTCACTCATGTCCAGGGTCACAACATTTTATTTTTTTATTTTTTGACAGGCAGAGTAGACAGTGAGAGAGAGAGACAGAGAGAAAGGTCTTCCTTTGCCGTTGGTTCACCCTCCAATGGCTGCTGCGGCCTGCGCGCTGCAGCCAGCGCACCACACCTATCAGAAGGCAGGAGCCAGGTACTTCTCCTGGTCTCCCATGGGGTGCAGGGCCCAAGCACTTGGGCCATCCTCCACTGCACTCCCTGGCCACAGCAGAGAGCTGGCCTGGAAGAGGGGCAACCGGGACAGAATCCGGCGCCCTGACCGGGACTAGAACCCGGTGTGCTGGCGTGGCAAGGTGGAGGATTAGCCTAGTGAGCCACGGCGCCAGCCGCAACATTATTAAAGTTCCCTAATAATCTGCCTCCAGAGACATATAGGTGGCACAGCTATTGTGTGGACAGTAGCATGCCTCTTTTTCATTCTTATGTGTTTAGTCTTTGATTATCCAGTTTTCTCAAGAAAAAAAAAACCTCAATATTAAATAGGACATTTTATTAATTATATACTTAAAATGTTCTCAAACATTCATAATACCATAGTTACTATTTTATATAGATTACCTCATATCAAAGACAATAGAAAAATATAGAAATTGAAAGTCTACAAGATAGTATTTCTTATTTCTTTCTCTAGTATAATCTATGCATACCTTAAAAACAAAACAAAACAAAAACTTTAAGATCATTTCTTGCAGAACAGATCTGATGGGATGGGGAACTAACACTTATCTTTGTTCCAGGTAAGCCAGTCAAGTATCAAAGACTGGTTGAGATTAATTCCCTCCCCTTCCCCTGCCTACCTTCTGGAGGATCTGCTGAGCTCAGCAAAGCGGTCACAAGACAAGGGAAAGATATACAAGGAGAGGGGGAGACAACACGGTTAAGTAGAGAGAGGGAACGAGAAAGAAATTAAGGGCCCCCAAAATCCATGGCTTGAAAAAATGCAACAGTGTTATTTTTAAAACTGCATCCATCAGTAAAAATATTTAAAAATTTTTAAATGCTTCTTGACTTTTTATTTCTTGGTCTGTATAATTGGTTACAACAGCACCCTTTTTTCTGAGCACATCTTATCTATAACATAATTTTGAAAATTTCAAATCACTAAACCAGCAAGAGAAAAAGACCTTATCTACCTTCTAAGCTTTGAAGCAATGTGAATATTTAATCATTGAGTAAATTTTCTTAGAATCAATATTTGTAAGACTTAATTTCTTTGAAAGAAGATACTAGACTATACAAAGAAAATAAATATCAAAAATTTTTAAGTTATCATACAAAACAACTTTCCCATTGCTTAATCTTCAAGGTATGACCACAAAAATATATTAAAATTAAAATGTTTTTAAATATTAGTACATTTATATGGTTTATAACAAATCATGCATGCAACAAAACGAGACTTGCTTAGAATTTCTAGGAAGGTATTTTAGAACATCAATGAAATGGCAGAATGTAGGAAAGATAGAAAGTACCTGTGTACTTCCGACAGAGAAGAGTCACTCTCATCAGACCTACAGTGAAAGAGTTAGAATCATGAGGAGAAAGAATACAGTGTCAACACGAAAAGACGCTGACTCTGGACTGCAAGTCAACAGCATGAGTAACAGAAAGTACAGTGCCCTGCTGTGCTGTTTGCACAGGGTATCAGCAAGTTTCAAGAACAGGTACGCCAGGTTTAAAAAAAAATGTATTCTGATATTCTTACTATGACTCTAGTGGGGGGAACTTTTTATTAGTGACCCACAGAATCTATCTCCACTTCTAAAAGGTAGCTGAAGAGGACGCCAGCAAGCACATGAAACCCATCACCGCACAAGCAATATATTTGCATGGAAAGAAAATCACTCAAATTGTTAATAACCTCTGGCTTTTTGCTTATCTCAAAAATGTGGCACTCTTTGTACTAAGAAAAAATTTTACATGGATTTCAAAAAAAATTATACTAAAATAAACTTATCTTTTAATTCCATTTTCCATGAACTTTTCGAAGTACCCTCACCACTGGAGGACTTTAGTGAGAATTTAAAATAGGTAAGCCACTCTGCCGGCCTTGCCATGAAGCCTCCAACAATGGCAGTGAACGTGGCTGCTATGAAATCTCGTGGAGTACCAGGATAGGGGGTGCTGGCCTGGAATGTGACCAGAAGTAAAGTGTGGTGGTGACGTCTCGTGAGTGAAACATGGTGGTCTCCAAATGGGGCCCCCAAGAATGATAGGGCACGTTTGGAAAGTGCACTGCAACCAGTAACTCTAAGTTTTAGCTTATTAGAGATGAGCAAAGTCAAATTATTGGGAGTTCATAAAATATTTCAGGAAAAAATATGGAACTAGAATGTCAAGGTACTCAAGACTGACAGAAAAGTCAGTAGACAAAATCAAAGTAGACAGAATTTAGCAATTCTTTATGTCACTGGTGAAAATGAACTTGCCAAGGACATTCTTAATGAGCTGCATTTCTCAATGAATGACAGAAATACAATATTTAATACTGTATTTGTTTAATAACACAAAAATTTACCTCTCTAGAGCGAGTTAACTGATGTGTCATTTACTGATTAAACTATACTACAACCTAATAAGGAATCTTAGATGAAGAATGGATCCATAAATCATGTAGACTATACATTCTTTCAAAATCATGGCGTGTTTCTGTAAGTTGAGAGACATATAGCAGAATGGAAGCATGTCAGACAGAACTTAAACAGCATCCTGCAAATTTCAGAGACTGCTAAAGTACGCAGGGAGACAACAGCACAGAAAACAATTGGGGTAGGGACGAGAGGATGTCAGCAGGTTCAGCTAGGATGTTACTGCTCAAAACCCAAGCAGACAACTCTGTGTTAATAAATTAGCTTACAGCAGAATTGTTAGTACTGAATTCTTGCAAGAGAGATTCTGGCTCAATGTGGGGATGCTCTTTCACTTCAAATTCAATGAATATTACATTTTCCACATCCTCCAACCCCTGTTCCCCTCCAACCTACTCCCGGTCCCACTTCCTCCATCCATAAAGGTGTTCTTTTATTACAAGAACACAATTACTATAGTTCCATGGTCAATTTCTCTAGAAACACCTAATGATAATAACATGTTACACATGTAACAATCATCCTCGTGGGCTGTTACATCCACTAAAGGAATAACAATTTGCCTCTTTTCAACTCAGGCAGCAGGGCTCAGAGGGGCTGAAGCATCCCAGAAATTCACACTTCAAGAGGTCTCTAATAGGCACATAGGAGAAAAGGCAAGACAGGTGCAAATCTACAACAGGGAATAATGTTCAGCAGGAAAATAATTTTCTCTAATTTGGGCTCCAAGGTTGCTTTTCATTGGAAAAACACATGAGAGACGGCAAGAGTTGAGAAGTCAGACCTCATCTCCCACACAGAGGTGGGAGGCGGCTACTTGTTCTCCACAGTCCCAGAAGGTTCAGAATGTGGGGTAAGCAGTGAGGCTGGTTCACAGTAACTTACTTATCCTGCTGAACTGATGTGTTTCCCTGAGAAACAGTAAGACGATTAAAAACATTCAGCTCATTACGGGGCCGGCTTGGTGGGGAGGAAGGAGGTGAAAGACTAGCCTCTGAAGTTCCAGAATCTGAGCTACAAGAAAAAAAGAACATTAAGTGGGTGGCTTTCATTGGTTACAGCTTGTTAGGAAAGTCATCAGAAACATGCGTTTTGAAAAAGCTTGTCGCTAGAACTCCTTCCTTCTTCTCTTCTTCCTTCCATCCTCTCTGCGGTTTGCAAGATCAAACGCTCTCTGAACAACTGAAATAAACAATCTTCCCTGCTAGCTTTCGTTACACTGGCCACAAGATGGCACTAAAGAAAGGATTCAGGTCCGTATAAATAAAGCAAGCCAAACTTCAACTAGACAGTGTCAGAACTGAGGCCAAGACGCTCACTGTACAGATTGAGAAACAAGTCCAGAGAGCTTAGCAATTTGCCTATTGGGTTGATTCAGTTGGTATCTAAAATCTTTTGGCTTCATTCTTCTATTTTCCAACTACCCTCCGGACATTAGATTGAACAAAAATGGGCAAATTACATCTCCAAAGCCAGGAGGCAAGGACACCAAGAAGGATCACTTCTATGACATTCAAGTCAGCTGAACCCACAGTCAAAGTCGAGGGCGTGAATCTTGGCACAAGGAAGGGATGGGCTAAGATGGTCCACTCAGGTACAGAAAATGCATGGATACTTCTTTTCATACTTATGCTGAGAAAATTAAAGAAACTCATTTTACTAGTATTAGCATATGGCCTGATATAGAAGTTCTTCCATGACAGGCATGAGACAGGCCTGTCCCAAGTGCACGAGTAGGGGAGAAATAAGCAAAGAAGGGGCTCTAATCCACTTGACTCTTTCTTGCTGTGGGGCTGCAAGCTAAGCACCCAAGTAAGTGCGTCTCCAGGTTACGTTATGTACTGTGCAGCCAACTGACTCTCACAAAACACGTGAAAGACACAGCTGAGGATAACAGCAATAATTTAAAAACGCAGCAAGAAGATGGCACCGCTAACACACCACTAACTAGCTTTTGATCAGCCACCCTAGGTGGTGAACTCAATGTCAGTCTTCTAAGATGACAGTCAAACTTAATTCCAAATTTTTATTGAAGACTATATGAAATATCCATTTAGTAAGCCTCACCTCAATTATATATTAACTTTTTCAATTATATACACAGATTGAAAAATGTCAGTGGATAGGATTGCTAAGAAGGGTTCAAATATTTTTATATTTGTGAGTGATCAAGGGAATTAGAAGATCACATGGCCAAGCCAATAGCTGACTTGATTGTCGCAATAAGTTAGATCAGTCATAACCACAGAGCCAGCCTAAGCCTAGCAAATAATCGCACCCTGAGCCTTTAGCATCGAGCTACAGCGGACTTAATACAGACAGGAAGATCTATATTAGCAACTTACTGTTTTTGTTCCTTAGCTTTTGGTTTTTCTGCTTTGTCGTACGCCTTTCGCCTTGTGACAGGAGAAGGCTCTGGGATGCGTTTTTCTGATAGAGATGACTGCCTGGAACTAAAACAGAAAAAATATTTAATTATATTATTTTAAATATATATATACTTGTGGTAGATAAGCAATCTAAAAATTTTAATAGATTAATAACTTGGAACTTGAGCAAGATTATTACTTGGGAGCAAAGAAATAAAACTATGGTTGGATATTATCTGAGTTTAGTTGATGCAAATTAGACATAAATTTTTAAATTGGCAGTTATTAAATATGTGCAAACCTTATTATCTGAATGTAAACTTCAATGCTACACTGTCAGATATTTAGAATAAGTACTTTAGTTTAAATATAGATACCTAAGTTTCACAGGAAATCATTTCAGTTGAAGAAAATTATCTATATAGTTTTGTAAGAACAAAATATTAGAATATTTGAAATGCGACTATAAGGAACAATGAAATTCAAGGAATTAACATTTAGACTTTCACAAAACAATATTATAACCAATCACAAAAAAATCAGGTTTTATTAGCATCTGTATAATAATTAGTAGCTATGTATCCCTTTGTAATAAAGTATTCCTGCCTCATAAATTTTAAATGCTGAATGTATTTAAATGTATCCCTTGTAATGTAATTAAAAATTTAAGACTATGACTTTTGTGTATAATGAGAATAAATATTAATGGAAAAAACAATGAATCTTTATTACATAGTTTATAATATATTAATACAAGAAAAAATGCAAAGACACTAGAAAGTGAGTCTTTCAAAATGGGTTTACATCATTTCTATTTAAAAATGTAAACTAGGGGCCAGCGCCGTTAATTTTCCGCTTGCAGTGCCGACTTCCCATGTGAGCCCCGGTTCTAGTCCCGGTCAGGGTTCCAGTTCTGTCTCGGTTGCTCCTCTTTAAGTCCAGCTCTCTGCTGTGGCCTGGAGTGCAGTGGAGGATGGCCCAAGTGCTTGAGCCCTGCACCCCATGGGAGACCAGAAGTACCTGGCTCCTGGCTTTGGATCGGCACAGCACTAGCCATAGTGGCCATCTGGGGGGTGAACCAATGGAAGGAAGACCTTTCTCTCTCTCTCTGTCTAATCTGTCTCTCTCTCTCTCTCACTGTCTAACTCTATCTGTCAAATAAAAAAAAGTGAAAACTAAAAATAGTTAAGCTTTATGTTTCTAATTTTTCTAATCAGAGGAAACCATATTTTAAAAATTTTGCATCATTTAATTCATAAGGATTACTTTAGCTAATTATTGCTTGAGTAAATTTTTACTTCATGAAATAAAACTCAAGCAATTAATGATTCAAAAGTTACCATACCAGGTATATGACCAATTTGTAAGTTTTTAAAGAATTATAGTATCTGAATTTATGAAAACTTAAATCATATGAAGTGACAAAACACAAAAGGTATTTTCTACAACCTGTCACGAAGGATACATTTTTTAATTAAAAAAAGGCAAAAAGAAGGTATTACCTGATTCCGGATTCCAGGCCATAGATTTAATCTTGAAGTTCCAAAAGTCTCTACTCATCTGACAGACTGAACGTTAAGCACACATGCAAGTTCCTAGTATCTATCCTGTGCTGCATCTCTACCTTCACCCAAAGCATTTCTTCTACGCTCTCTCCTCACGGAAGCACTGATCAGCCACCTCCAGCAGCAAATCCAAGTTAACGGCACAGCCACCTCAAGCACATGCAAGAAAGTGCTGTCATCACGAAAGTAAATTTGGAATTGAAGGTAGCAAATGGGATTACTAAGGGGCAGATAATGACAATAACTTCATAAAATGAAGGCTAGTACGGGAAACAGATGTTTAACAGCAGAAGGTTTGTATTACGTATTATTTGCAGAGCCATATAGCATTTGCTGCTTTTAGGAGCAATATTCTTCAATGCAGAGATACAGCATTCCATAAATCAGTCACTAGGTTGTATAGAGGGTTAGTTTGAAAAATCCCTTGAAAAATACTTGCCAGGGAATGACAGATATTGTTTAAAACACAGGCATATACATATACTTGTACAGTGCAATCTTTCCTTGTCATCAAAATAGTAATGAAAAAATTCTGATCAAGACTTTTTTGTTCAGATTAGCATAGAAAAAAGAGAGAATATTCCCTCCTTCAACTGTTTAGTGATACTTATAAAACCTTATGTGAATGCCCATCCCAGACACGGAACATGCTTCAAGGTAAAGAATTAAGAAAGTTCAAAATTTATTGTTTACGATTGGCATTTCTTTTTTCTTTAAAAGGCTTAGCAAAGATTTACTATACTGACCAGGCTTTTTAGCATAAGGACACAGCTAATTTTAGAATAAATTTAAGAATCTGTGAACCTTCTGTTTATATTTAATGGTTTTATAAGTATAACTTTTAAGTGTTCCTAAACAAGTTGTATTTATAGTTCATGATTCATCCTTTTCATCCTGGAAATAATAACCCTAAGAATGATCCTAAAACTTAGAGATAAGACAGAGGAATTTAGCCAAGATTAATGAATGGTAGATAATGGAAAACTTCATCTTAAATTATTTCAAATGTTCAAAAAAATCAGGGGAGATAACACCTAACAGAAATTACTTTTAAAACCAGAAGTCTTATTTACACAAATTTTTAAAAAATAGAAATAAGAAATTAGCAACATGCATATTAAAAACAAAACAAGGCACAAGAAAGGAGGTTAGTGTAGCTGGGCCAGACTTACATGCTGCCTATCTGAGAAGGCAAGCCCGCTGGGGGAAGAAGCTCTTTCTCCCCCGCAGAAGCAGCACTGGTCTCAGTGTTCACTCCAGTCTCTGGCCCTTCTGCAACAGGTGTGAGAGGGCCAGGCAAGGAGGCCCCTCCTGTGCTAGTGTCTGAAGCTAGCTCACTGCTATCTGCATACAGCAATTCCATCTGAGTGGTGGTCCTCCTTCGGGCCTAGTCAGAGAATGGAAGGAAAAGCAATGAGCAGCAACCTTTCGCATAGAACTTGATTAGGGAATGGAGATCTATATTAGTTGAAACAGATAAAAATACTCAACATGTCTTTTTCGAGCAAGTGTCAAAGAGAGCAGGTACACAGTGATGAGACAGAGCTGTAGCCAGAGAAGAGCTTCTGGGGGCACAATAATAGCCAGCAGTGTAGGGTACTCGTGCGCCTAGCCCTGTTTAAACTCTGTATGCATGCGCATGTCGACAGGTAATGTCATTATCCAGACTCACAAACGAGGAACAGGCACAGAGAAGAGAAGTGATTTGCCCAAGGTCATACAATGAGCCAGGGGCAAAGCCAGATTCACAGCCAGGCCATCTGCCTCCAACACAGGACTTTTTAGAGGAAGGGGGGAGGGGCGGAGGGATGGAGGGAAGTAGGTAGAAACAAAGTCCAGAAGAAAGGAGGGAAGGGATTAAACCACACGATAATTACCAGGAAGCTCAAGGAAACTCTGATTGTTTTCTCATGCTTTAACAATAATTTTTAAATTTTATTTTCAGTTTTTATGGCCCTTCCCTCCTGATGCCTTCAACACAATGCTTTATGTGCCTGTGAGGTAATTCAGCACAGCGAGGCAGGTAAAAAGCTGCTTCCCTAGAATCTGAGTTCACTATACGCAGTCTTTTCCTTACTCTTGAAAACCAAGTAGCTAGACTGCCATTCCCCAGAGGCGGTAGCTGACAGAGAACCAAGGGGTTTGCCAGATGATAAACTTCTAGGGAACAGGTACCCTGCTTTATTCAATTTTATATCCCCCACACTTAACTCAGTACTGATATGCACACATTTACCATATACGAGTAAAACCGACTTTGTATCTTCACTGAGTGAAAAGAAACAACAGGAGACCCTTCCAGGCCTCTCTGCAGGTCCACAGAAGGAGCAGCAGGCACTTGAAGGAAGCTCTGGCAAGAGGAAGCCCTGCAGCCACTTCTGACGGTCACCTTCCCCACTGCCCATGGCCTGGGGCAGCAGGGAACCATTTCCCAGGAATTCCTATCCCCAGTGGTTCTTCCAGGGCATGGCCTGTAGGCCCCCACGTCACACCACCCTATGGCATCCCACAAGGGCAGGACCTGGGAGAGGAGGGTTGCCTGAGACTAGATCCAGACCACAGTAGGATGTTTTCTCGCTAACTTCTGCTTGCTCACTCAGGATCATAAAACACAAACTGCGTGTTGCCAAAGCAGCAACTCGAGGGTCACACGTGACCTGCTAGAGGTGGGCTGATGTTTAGCCTAGCATCAAACTCCAGTTAAGACACCTGTTCCAGCCGGCGCCGCGGCTCATTAGGCTAATCCTCCGCCTTGCGGCGCCGGCACACTGGGTTCTAGTCCCGGTCGGGGCACCGGATTCTGTCCTGGTTGCCCCTCTTCCAGGCCAGCTCCCTGCTGTGGCCCAAGTGCTTGGGCCCTGCACACCATGGGAGACCAGGAGAAGCACCTGGCTCCTGCCATCGGATCAGCGCGGTGCACCGGCTGCAGCGCGCCGGCAGCGGCGGCCATTGGACAGTGAACCAATGGCAAAGGAAGACCTTTCTCTCTGTCTCTCTCTCTCACTGTCCACTCTGCCTGTCAAAAAAAAAAAAAAGACACCTGTGTCCCATAACTGGCGAGCTTGGGCGGATTCCTGGCTTCACTCCTGACTCCAGCTTTCCGCTAACGCAGACCCTGGGAGGCCACAGAGACGGCTCAGTGATTAGGTTCCTGTCCTCAGCGTGAAGCCGGGCACTTGGACAACACTCAGGGCTTCCTGCTTCAATTCCAGCTGCAGGCCACTGTGGGCATTTGGGAAGGGAACAAGCGAATAGGAGCTCGAGATGTCTCTGTCTCTGTGTCTCTCTGCTTCTTAAATAAATTAACAAAATTTAATTTAAGCAGCATTAAAAAATATCTGGAGATGACTGTCTTAGATAAGGAAATTCTACATGGAGATCCATATTTAAGATTCTCCTGAAAAACAGAGGATCTGGTAGCCCTTAGCCCATATTCCTAGACGGCAAAAATGACCAAGACATGACATGATGGTGGCGATTTGCTTTAGACAGAGCACATGTCTCCAGGAGCCCACAGCAACCTCCCCACACACAGGCATCATCACACATCCCACTAAATCCCCCTGGCTAACCACAGTGGCCTTAAATCTGTCCTGACCACTGAAGGTACTATTCATCCAGGTCCGGATTCTAACTATTCACAAAACAAAGATTTGCAAAGCACCAGAAACGTTGCTGATGTTCATGCATTTTAAGGTCTGGTATCACAGACAACCAAGTCCCATCTGAAACGTATCATGTGCTTCTCAGACACTGAACACACCCCGCATTTATGCACGATGATTAAGGATCAGCTTATTATTCAAATCATCTCAGGATCCTCCTCCAAGAAAATTCCTAGCCACAGCAGAGAGCTGGTCCTGGAAGAGGGGCAACCGGGACAGAATCCGGCGCCCCGACCCGGACTAGAACCCGGTGTGCTGGCGCCGCAAGGCGGAGGATTAGCCTAGTGAGCCGCGGCGCCGCCCTATAAATGAATCTTTAAAAAGAGGAAGTATTAGACACACTATAAAAACAAGTCAAATCCAGCCATTTTCTAAGGTCTGCTTACCTTCCTTCTGATCCTGGGCTGTTTAAAGGTGCATCTTCATCAGTACTATCCTCTACATTTTCTAAAAAAAAAAAAAAAATCCAAAATACAGGTGTTAGCCACACGGCACAGTGACCCAATCCCTGTGCTACAATAACCGTCAGCTCCCTGTCTCAATAGGGGCATTTTGGTGCTAGTGGCCGGACCAAAACAGAACTGCAGAAAAATACTTCTAGTGAACTCCTGAGATTATTTGTCCTGGGCTGAAGAAAACTATGTTCGAGATAGGCAACTCGTCAGTTTGAATGGTGACACGCAGAAAAACACATTCACGGCATGGAATGAGGCTATGCATTTACTGGAGTACATAGAATTATATATGCGTATCTTCTCAGGGTCTCGTATTTGTCCTGCACCAGCTCACCATCTAAACCCACAAAATCCCTTGGTTAAAAACACGAGGTTAAGGTAAGTGCTACATGAACTCCATTAACGGAGTGAATCAATCATACCAGCTATGCCAACTTCCTTAAATATTTTTGCTTGTTTAATTTTTTATGTTTGGCTTCAAGTAGAAAGAGAGAGTGCGTGTGAAGGTACTCAAAAGTCACATATCAGCATGCAGCTCATTCACGTGTACACAGAAGACAAGAACAGAAGATGTGCATGCAACGGTTCTGGAAACCAACACAGATAAACCACACTATTCCAAACAACTGTGGCAAGGGAATACAAGGTGGTGGGGGAGATCAACACATAAACTAGTAAGAAATCAGTTTTAAAAAAAACAGCCAGGGAAAGTAAATTATTCAAAATGTCAGCAAGCCCCTGCCAGGTGCTTTTAAAACACACACATTTTATTAAAAAAAAATCATTCCAGAAAACTAAAAACAATGCCATGTTAATCTAAAATATATAGGATTCACCCCTTGTAAGTTTTATTTTGATACTATACCAGAGGGACACATACATGAGACAACAAATTTCTGTCTGCCCGCCGCCACACCCTTCCCCCCTCACAATCAGCAGACATCATGGCAGGAGCCCGGTGATCCGTAACAGAATGTGGGAAATGGACCGCACTAGGACCCCCACAAGGGGGGGGTCACTCTCATTGAAGGCAGCGTGGATTTCCAAGCCTATTGCCTATGGGAGGCTCAAAGCCTGTTTCACAGACAGGGTAAGTCAGTGCTAGGGCGACTCAGTCAGTAGTAACGAAAACTGGGTTCCAAGGAGGTAAGTTCAGCTTCTGTCTTCCCTGGTACAGAAGCAGGCTACGACTTGCTATCACTTTTCTTGCAGCAAGTGATAAGACCAAACAGTGTGGAGCACCATGTGACAGCTCAGTAAAATCCCCTTCACCCCTGCGTGTGCAGTGTGCCTGATTGAGAGATAATTATTTCCTGACATAACCGTCCGGGCCAGAGCACACAGCCCACACCCAGGCCCACATGGCCACGGCCGAGGCCACCCTCGGGTCTGGGATGGGCGTGAGGCAGGGCCCATCATCGCCTCACTGCTGCGCTCTCAACCCTGCCAACAGAACTCAGTGCAGGGCCAGCTCCCTCCCTCGTCACAGCAGCCTTAGCAGGAAGGCAGACACAAGGCTCTCACAGCTCCTAACCCTCAACCACCTCCGTGCAAAGTTTCACAGTGTAACTTTACTGGAAGCTAACTAAATGGCTAGTTTTATGGTCTTTTTAGAAGTCGGTTTTTTTTTTTCTCAAAAAAAATAAAGGGTATAGAAGAGACTTCACACAGCAGCCCTGTGAGTCTGACCCCAAGGAATGCCTGCTTGCACAACCGCACTCTGGCTGACTTCTGCAAACCTGGCTCCCAGAGGGTCCCCAGGCTGCTCCCTTTACACAGGCTGTGCAAACACGATGCTGATGCAGAACACCCAGCTTCCTTCTGGAAGTCTGGAGCAGGTGACAGAATAGGGGTAACAGTGCTAGACAGAGGTACCTCTGTGACCACCCCCAGAGCAGACCGCGGGCACTGAGGATCGAGGAGACCTGCCTGGCAGAGCCACGGTGCGCACACTGCTGCACTTCTGCTTCGGGGGAAGCCCGTAGCCCAGGTGAGCTCTCGGGGCTGGAGTGGAGAATGAGGAAGCCTGTGTGTGGATCGCTGCAGACTCCAGCTGTGGCTTTTCCCCTTGTGAGCCAGCTGTGTCCTTACCACCTTGCTAGCCATGAAAACAACTACACACTGAGCCCAGTGGGTCTTCTAGCAAGTCCGCAAAGACAGGGGTGACCTTTGGGACCCCCAATATGGGAAGGGACAAAGAAGGAGAAAATAGAGATGTCTTCAAAAATTGCAAAAGCCCAAACCAGCGGTGTGAGGGGTCGGCCCTGGCTGTGCCTCCGCCTGGAGTTCCGCCCTTCTCTATCACGAACTTGTAGCTCCTCAGCTCCAGCTCGTTGGTCAGCTTTGTGAACACAACCCTGTGGCCGCATGGCCACACAGCTCATGACACCCTCTGCCTGGAGACGCTGGCCTCTCACCTCCTGCTACACCGTCTCCTGCCTAGCTGACTTCCTCTTCCTTCGTATTTCAGCTCAAGGGCCACCTCCTCCAGAGAGCCTTCATCAGCTCCTCGTGCCCAGGTCCTCTCTGTGCCCCCACAACTCCTTGCTGGCATCTTGGTCCCTGGCCTCACTGCTCATGGTCTGTGACCCTCAGCAGGGCACCAAGTCCAGGAGGGCAAGATTAGCTTCTTACTCATCTCTGAACCCAGCACCCAGCCCAATGCTTGGGATAAATAAGCAGTGTGCTGGTGACTGGACTGCCTTCGTGGGTTTAATCTCTATCTTCTCCAGCCCTCTGGTCTGGATTACAGCCCCAATCCCCAGGGAACCTCTCTGCCATGAGTCACAGGTTACATCAGCTGCACGGGTTCCCACTCTGCTTCTGACCCTTCTTCAAACTATCATTTGCAAATTGTGAAAAATGAGCACTGTTTACCAAATTAGCAGCTTGATATTTTTCTTCCCTAAGGATGTCAAAGAATTTTTCTTCTGAGCTAAAAGAGATCACCTATTATTGTCAACTGGACCACTAAGAAGAAGAACAAAAAAAAAAAAAGAGGAAGACAAAGAGAAAAGGGAAGAGGAGGAGGAAAAGGAAGAAAGGGAGAGGAGGTAGAGAGGGAGATGAGGTGGAGAGGGAAAAGGAAAGGGAGAGGAGGGGGAGAGGGAGAGGAGGAGGAAAAGGAAGAAAGGGAGAGGAGGTGGAGAGGGAGAGGAGGGGTGAGGCAGAGGAGGGGGAGAGGAGGGAGAGATGCAGAGGAGGAGGAGAGGCAGAGGAGGGGGAGAGGCAGAGGAGGGGGAGAGGGAAAGGGAAAGGGAGAGGAGGGAGAGAGGGAGAGGAGGTGGAGAAAGAAAGGAGGGGGAAAGGAGGGGGAGAGGCAGAGGAGGGGGAGAGGCAGAGGAGGGGGAGAGGGAGAGGAGGAGAGGCAGAGGAGGGGGAGAGGGAGAGGAGGGGGAGAAGGAGAGGAGGCGGTGATAGAAGAGGGGGCAACAGGAGAGGGAGGAGGAAGGGCGGAGATTATCTTGATAGCACATGAACTGGAAAATATGCTGGCTATGATGCCAGGTACAAGCAGCCCAACATGCTTCCTTTAAACAACTCTATTTGCTCCTAATTGGTTTTCTACCTGTTCTTGGCTGGCTTGAGCACCTGAAGTAACAGCCTTTCCGTATCTACACCACGTAGATGATCTCAAGGAAATTCTGTTCTGATATTCAGATGTAGTGCAGACACCAAAAAAAATCAAATAGATCATTTATTTTATTTGTGTAACATCTTATCATTTGAAATAAATGCAGAGATGTGCATTTGGCACAGCAGTTACCAGCTGCTGGGGATACCGCACCCCATGTGAGAGTGCCTCTGCTTGAATCCCATCTCCACTGCCTGGCAGTGCACACTCTGGGAGGCAGCAGGTGGTGACCTGAGCACTCGGTTCCCTGCCACCCGTGTGGGAGACCTGGATTGAGTTCTGTGCCCCTGAGCTCAGCCTGGCCCAGCACTGGCTAAGGTGGGCACTGGATAGTGAAGATCTCTGTTTCTCTCTCCTCTCCCTTTCAAAAATAAATAAATAATAGTTAAAACAGTAACACAGATGCAAAGTCATAGGCTAGTTTAATGACAAAAAGGTAATTACTCTTAATCTTTTAATTACTTTCATTTATAAGCACGTAGAAAACTTGTGACTTTTTGTGTGATTGGGGGAAAAATGATCACATTTGGAAACAATTTTAGTGAAATGAAAACTGCTCCGAAATAATCATTTGGACTGAGCCATTTACAAGGGGTCCCTGCTACTCCTGGTTCTCCGAGTGCAAGCACTCGCTAAGAGCAGGCAGTGGGTGGAGTCGCTGTGAGGGCTGTCGAGGTGGGTGGAAAAGGCTGAGAATGTAGACACTCAATGATCTCTAAAGCCCTTCCTCACTAGAAAACAGTATGACCAGCAACACGATCTCACACTTCAAACAAATTCCTATGAATAGGTTAATTCAATTTACAATATCGAAAAGCATGTGCCTAATTTTACAAAAACTAAGGAATAGGTGAGAATCCAGCAAATATTTACCAAAGACAAATATATACCAGAGGAAGACATATACAAAAGAAAGTTACTCGTGAGGTTAAAACAATAGATGCACGTTAATAGAAAGGTTGAAGAATTAAAAAGGAGCACATAATTCATTTTGTTCCTATAAGAAAGAGAAAGAGGGTGGAGGGTTTATAAAACTGGAGCCACAGTTGGAACTCAAATTATAAAGGAGGCAATTAACTAAAGCACACTTCTTTAAATATCTAAGAATTTTTAAACCGGGAATGTTTAATAAAGACAAAAGACTTAGTGTGTTTGTGGCCATGGATACATTTCAAAAAAGATCATGCAAAAACCAGTTGGCTGCCAATTAAAAAAAAAAATCTTGAAAATAAGATGTACCACAATTAGTGTACATGAACAATTAGTAATTCATGCAGCTGTACGATACACAGAAAGCTAATCATACTTACCTGATGGTACGCTATCTAGATCTGTGCAAATACAGCAAAAAGGAAACAAAAAGCAATACTCTAATCAAAACAGATCCAATGTTAAAAACTTCCACATAAACAAGATTATGTACCATTTACAAGATACGTAGAATAGATGCCATAGCAAACACTTAGAAATTTCTTTTTTAAGGTAGTTAGATATGCAGAGTACAGTAATGAAACTTGGTTAATAAATAAATTTAAATAACCAACTAAGAAAATTGGTTAATCTTATTTATCCACAAAAATTTATTGCCTAATAAAGTTAGGAAACACTTTTTAGTTGGCTATCATTTCTTGGGACAACAATAATGACTTCCCCCAAAATTTACAAACACATGCACATTAAAGAAAGCAAGCATCCTTATTAAAAGCGTAAGTAAGTACAGCATCTATTCAGTCAAGCCATAAAGGACAGAGGTAAACTAGAGCATATTCAAAAACCACAGCAACCATGCAATTCATTGAACGAAGACTGATTCCAAGTTACCTTGTAAAGCATGGCCCAGCAAAGCATCCAGCTCGGGATTTAACTCTGCTTTCTCTTTCAACATGTGGAATAAGAGCTGGTTTTGGGTAGCACTGGTTATTTCCGTTTGCTTAAGTCGACCTTCAAGTACTTTAATTTGAGCCTCTTTCTGGGCAGCCTGAAGACCCTGGAACACACACAAACTATCTTAGTTCACATAAAACAGAAACTACCACACCAAACCTGTATCTAGTAGCCAAGGCATGTGATCTATGGACTCTTGACATCAGACACACCTTCATTGGTCACACCTCCACCATTCACTAGATTGGTGATCTTAAGACAAGTTCTCCTGTCCAAGATGTTATCCTCCTGATTTCCAGTTTCCTCACTTGCAGAATTATATGTGTACATAATGATGATTCAGTGACAGAACATAATATAACAGGTCTCACACAGTCCCAACAAGCAAACGGAGTGAGTTAGAAGACATTACTGGGGCCGACACTGTGGCATAGTAGGTTAAGACTCTGCCCACAGTACCGGCATCCTATACGGGGGCCAGTTTGAGTCCCAGCTGCTTCTCTTCTGATCTAGCTCCCTGCTAATGGCGGGGAAAAGCAATATATAGGATGGCCCAAGTGCGTGGGCCCCTGTATCCAGGTCTGAGAGACCCAGAGAAAGCCCCTGGCTCCTGGCTTCAGATCAACCCAGCTCTGGCCATTGCAGCCATTTGGGGGAGTGAACCAACGAATGGAAGACCTCTTTCTCAGTCTCCTTCTCTCTGGCTGTAACTCTGCCTCTTTAACTAATAAATAAATCTTTAAAAACAAAAAAAGAAATCATGATTACCAATAGCATTTGGGCATAGATGCTTAGTGGTGACAAATCAGAACATTTATGTTCCAAAGAGGAGAGTGGTACAACAGGACTTTTTTCCTTTCTGATTTTCTTTTGAGATATAAAAAAACAATATTATGCCAATTATAATACCAAATTTGTTTGCATCCTGAGAATTTTAAAAAAATTTCCATTGTTACAGCAAAAGGGAAATTATTTCTTCCCTAAGTTGTGCATTTATTCTAATGTCAAGTATAGTAAATGACAGACTAATAAAATTAATCTAAATTTTGCTAGCTTTTCTAAATTCTTAAGAAAGGTAACAGGGCCGGTGCCATGGCTCAATAGGCTAATCCTCAGCCTGCGGCGCCAGCACACTGGGTTCTAGTCCCGGTCGGGGCACCGGATTCTCTCCCAGTTGCTCCTCTTCCTGTCCAGCTCTCTACTGTGGCCTGGAAGTGCAGTGGAGGATGGCCCAAAGTGCTTAGGCCCTGCACCCGCATGGGAGACCAGGAGAAGCACCTGGCTCCTAGCTTCAGAGCATCAGATCAGCATGGTGTGCCAGCCACAGCGGCCACTGGAGGGTGAACCAACGGCAAAGGAAGACCTTTCTGTCTCTCTCTCTCTCTCTCACTGTCCACTCTGCCTGTCAAAAAAAAAAAGTAACAGGGATACTTTGCAATTGAGAAGAATCTTCCTTCTTATTACACACAGAAGGGCTACAGGGTAAAAATAAACGGAATTACAATAAACAGGCAAAACCTGGGTTTTCAGCCACAGGACAGTCAGCGCTTACCTTATTGATGCCCATTGACAGGAAGTGATCCAGCAGGTACCGGGCTTCGGTAAGTGTGCAGGCGTTAATGACTGCAGTGACATCCAGTGTCTCACCTTCTTCCTGCCTCAAGCCAGAATGATCATTATCAATACTTTGAACTGGATGTATCTGAGCAGAAGGCAAAAGCCTGCTTGATGTAGTTATTTAATAGTATTGAGTTAGCTAATGAGACTGCACAGAAAAGTGGCAAACATAGTCTCCACCCTAACAAACATATGGTCTTGCAGAAAACACACCTGAGCAGTAGGGAAGTCAAGGAAAGATGTAATCAACAATGCACCGCATGCACACACACACACACAAAATAATACCACAATGTCAGCAGAAAAATCCAGAGATCACGCAAGGATCTCCACATAAAGCCTAAGAATCAGATAATCTGATGATCCAATATTGATAATCCATTAATAGAAAATTCCTCCATAAAATATTCAAAATGCTTTTAATGACAAACAATACAAAAATACTTCTCAATAAGCCTTTAGGCCTTTTTAAAAATGACAACTTTTGGGGCCGTCGCTGTGGCACAGCGGGTTAAAGTCCTGGCCTAAAGTACCAGCATCCCATATGGGCGCCGGTTCAAGTCCCGGCTGCTCCTCTTCCTATCCAGATCTCCACTATGGCCTGGGAAAGCACTAGGAAGATGGCTCAAGTCCTTGGGCCCTTGCAGCTGTGTGGGAGACCCAGAAGAAGCTCCTGGCTCCTGGCTTCGGATCGGCCCAGCTCCGGCCTTTGCGGCCATCTGGGGAGTGAACCAGTGGATGGAAGATCTCTCTCTCTCTGCCTTTTCCTCTCTCTGTAACTCTTTCAAAAAAATAAAATAAATCTTTAAAAACAAAACAAAACAAAAAAATGACAACCTTTGCCTCTTCCATCTGCATGATGTTGGCTTGACAATCAGAAATACTGTCGTTGATGTAATCTATATTTGCTGTCAGGGACTCGATCTCCTCGTTGATGTTAGCCACGTTTTTATCTCCCTCTCCATTCTCCCTGACCATCTTCTCCCTTCTTTTTGAAAGCTTCTCTCGTCTTCTTGTGAGTTCTTCTCGTTGCTATGGAAAAAACACACTGAATTTTAAGAAATGGTGTTCATCTACTCACACGAGGTATAATCAAAACCAAAAAAAAAAATTAAGAAATAAATAATTGGGTAAATATTACATTTATCCAGGGGACAAATTTGGAACAATAACCATAGGCCAAGGGGGAACCTGTCTCCTTCCTGCTGGCCCTACCGTGAGCAGCCGGTTCATGTCGGCCTCCATGTTCGAGATGGTCATCTTCTGCATGATGATGTCGGTGACTCTACGCTCCAGCAGCTGCCACTTCATGCGGGCCGTCTTGGAAGTGAATACCCGGCCCGGCAATCCTTTCCTCTGGTATTTTTTCCTAGAGTCGGAGAAAGACAGACAAACATAATTACCCCTGCACTCCTCTTGCAGCACACTGCCCAACACGCCAGTCCTGCACCGAGGTACAGCCGTCGTTATCAATGCCCACAAAAACCATGCCCCCAGGAGCAGAGGGTCATGTGGACCTGGTTCCATTGCTTGTGGGTGTTGGTAAGGCCTGGACTCTCGCCACAGGAATCCTCAGCTTCTGCTGGGCCCCTGCCCGAGATGCGTCTGCTTCCCCTGCGGAGGCACTGGGGCCAGTGTCCTGAACAGGAGTCTCTGACGAGCTCAGCTTGCGAGTGACCTTCCCAGCCACTCTGTCTGACATGGGCCTGACTTGCCGGCGAAGAGCTGTGACCTGAAACACCAACAGAGACCACCCATGTCTTCCAGCAACTCATCTCTCATCTTCAACCGAGAACACCCCCAAACACTCAACTTGCTTACTGTACCTCTTCAGTTTTGCGACGAAGAACCACTTCTTGGTTTCTTTTCTGGGCCTCCAGAAGTCTAAGTTGATGCTATAAAATAAAATCAAACAAGCTGAAATAGTAAGCTGAAAGATACAATTCTACCCCTACAGTATTTCTCCTTCTCCCAGGAACTAGGAGGTCTTAACAAAATCTGAGTTTAAAACCCTGTAGCCCACAGATATAGGGATTTTAGTCTTACAAACACAAGTACGTATTGAAATGGCCATCCTTACCTGAAAAATTAAAAGTTATCTGTGTGCCATCCCTTATTGAACACAGTGCTCACTATAGGCAAGTACTCTTCTACATGTTTTACAAATACTATCTCATTTAACTCGTTAGATGTTTTAATTGCTAAAACAGAAACAGAAGGAAACACAGCTAACAAAAATTTTAATGGTGTTACCTTACAATATATGCCACAGGTAGAAACTTTAAAGTACAGGAATTATGCATATTAACTATGCTGCACTTTATAGCAAATTTAGAAACATCATGATGGATAAAGCAAATGGACAATAAAACATGTCCATATCGTCTACCAGGTTCTCTAGAAGATAAAGATAACCAATGGTGTACAAATTTCAGCCATTGTATAAGTTTATAATTCAGCAAAGAATTTTGTGCTAAAAAGAATACAGCTCTTTAAAATAAATAAATAAATCTTTTTAAAAAAATTTTTAAATGAACATAGATACTATTCAACTCTGTGACCTTTGCTAATACTGGAATCAGACTTCATTATAAACATCCCTACCACTAAATTCTGTCATATAACAAGTAATCCCCAATATTTACATCCCATATTCAACCAGATAATTCATTTCATACTGATGTATATTCCTCATCATAGGAGAACTCTTTGAGAAAAAAATTTTTACCTTATCACTGCCACATTATTTTCTACCACAATGATTGACATATAAGCAAAGTTAATAAATGGTTGTTAAATGACTGAACTACCAAAAACTAAAATGAACATATACTTTGAAACTTTTTTCCCTTTAACTTCTTCCTATTAAAAACCATTCCTCAAGTTTACTCATATTTTCCGTACAGTACACAGACATCACACTTGGTTTTCTAAGCGTTCGAAGATAAATGCGACAAGGAATGCTTTCTAAGGAGAGCAATATGCACACAAAGAAACGAAAAAAGGGAGAGTTCGTCTGAACGTTAGCTTTGTGGGTGGTTACCTGGCCTTCCATCTTTGTGGTAGAATATAGGCATCATATTTTATAGATAAGATTTTTTTTGATAGGCAGAGTTAGACAGTGAGAGAGAAAGGTCTTCCCTCCAATGGTTCACCCCCGCAAATGGCCGCTACAGCCAGCGCGCTGCACCGATCTGAAGCCAGGAGCCGGGTGCTTCCTCCTGGTCTTCCATGCAGGTGCAGGGCCCAAGCACTTGGGCCATCCTCCACTGCACTCCCTGGCCACAGCAGAGAGCTGGCCTGGAAGAGGGGCAACCGGGACAGAATCCGGCGCCCCGACCGGGACTAGAACCCGGTGTGCCGGCGCCACAGGCGGAGGATTAGCCTAGTGAGCCGCGGCGCTGGCCTGTAGATAAGATTTAAAAGTCCAAATACCAGGAACGAATTACTAAATTTTTATTATCTCTTTGTATCTTAAATGGGTTGGTAATAAAGTAATAGGTAGCATAAATTATAAAGAAATTAGCCGTCTTTCAAAAGTTTTCATGAAAATAAATTCCAAGAACCCAGATACAACACAAACGTCCATGAATGGATGAATGAATAAACAAAATGCGCTCTCTCTACCCAGTCCTAGGAAGGAAGGAAGCAGTGATGCATGCCACAACACGGGCAAACCTTGCAAACGTCATGCTACGTGAAAGAAGCCAGATACGAAAGATAAAAAAAGGGATGATTACACTTCTATTCAGTGTCCAGAGAAGGCAAATCTACAAGTACAAAAAAGTAGATTAGCAGCTGTCTCAGGCCAAGCAGCAACAGAGAACGAATGCTAATGAGTGTGCGGTTTCTAGTTAATTGAAAATAGATCTTTGTGAAAAATAACAAGGGGAATTAGAGAGAGAGTAGGCCAAGGGTGGGCGTGCTGGCACAATGAGGGTAGGATGGGGAAAATCACTATGTTCCTAAATTTTTATATATGAAATGTATGAAGTTTGTGTACCTTAAATAAAAGGTTTCTAGGTTAAAAAAATTATTATAATTTCAACTTCAAAAAGAAAATGTGCTGGAATTAGATAATGGTGACCACTGGAAAACCCTATGAATATATTAAAAACTTGAACTGTATAATTTAAAGTTGTGAACTTCATGGTATATGAATCATATCTGATTTTTTAAAATCAGTAATTTTAGAAAGTGCTTCGTAGGCCAGCACTGTGGCAAAGCAGGTAGAACTGACTGCAGTGCTGGCATCCCATATGGGTGCAGGTTCAAGTCCCAGCTGCTCCACTTCCCATCCAGCTCCCTGTTAATGTGCCTGGGAAAGCAGAAGTTGGCCCAAGTCCTTGGGCCCCTGCACCCACCCGGGAGACCTGGATGAAGCTCCTGGCTCCTGGCTTCGGCCTGGTCCAGCCCTGACCATTGCGCCCATTTGGGGAGTGAACCAGCAGATGGAAGACCTCTCTTTGTCTCCCTCCTTCCCTCCCGCCCTTCCTCCTTCTCTCTCTCTCTCTCTCTCTCTCTCTCTCTCTGCCTCTCCTTCTCTGTAACTCTGACTTTCAAATAAAATAAATAAATATTAAAGAAAGAAAAGAAAGTATTTCTTGATTTCAGTAGAAATATAATGCATAGACAGAATCTACAATGCTCAGGAACTGAATGGGACAAATACATTGATTACCAAAATACATCAGCACACATGGAAAAAATATGGGGTTATTGGACCACAATATCTACTTTTCTACCTTATTACTCTCTCCTATCTCCTTTCATTTTCAGTGTCGATTTCCCTTTTCTAAAATACACAATATGCCCATAATTTTCAAGGGAAGATTTATAAAAAGTTGACCAAGACTGAAACCCAATCAATAATAGAGCAGAAAAAGATGAAACCTTCTTCTTTTAAGAAAATAAACTCAGGAAGCTGGTGCTGTGACATGACGGGCTAAAGCCTCTGCCTGCAGCACTGGCATCCCACGTGGGCACCGGTTCTAGTCCCGGCTGCTCCTCTCCCAGTCCAGCTCTCTGCTGCAGCCTGGGAAAGCTGTAGAAGATGGCCCAAGTGCTTGGGACCCTGCACCAGTGTGGGGGACCCAGAAGAAACTCCTAGCTTTGGATCAGCCCAGCTCTGGCTGTTGTAGCTGTTTGGGGAGTGAACCAGTAGATGGAAGACCTTTCTCTCTGTCTCTCCCTCTCACTGTTTGTAACCCTACCTCTCCAATAAATAAATGAAAAAAGAAAATAAACTCAGAAATATAATTTCTTCATTTTAAAGAAATAATCGTATTACAAGAAATTGTACAGAATAAGAAGGAAAAAAATCAATTGTGGCCCAAAACCCAAGCATAACTATAGTTAGCATACTGGTATGGACCCCTCAATTCCAATCAAGATGCAGGTATTAAATACTACTTTACAATTAATGTGAGATCAGTTGTTCTTCACGTGACTACAACTCACAAAGTGAAATGGACCATTATTGACTTAACCATTTCTCATATGTGAAGCCACTTGGTTGCCCTTACTTTTTTCACAACTACAAACAAATCAAAGGTGAAGGTTTTAACAAACAGCAGTTACTCTTACTTCAGATTATGTTCTTAGTCTGAGTTCACAGACGTAAACTTCTTGAAACAAAGGAGATGAGAACATTCACAGCTCTTAGACAAGCCTCCTCCAGAGAGGACTGGTTATGGTTCAGAACATATGCAAGAACCTCTAGTCCAGGAAGCACCCTGAAATTGCTATTTCTTTTTTTTTTTCTTTTTTTTTTTTTTTGACAGGCAGAGTGGACAGTGAGAGAGAGAGACAGAGAGAAAGGTCTTCCTTTGCTGTTGGTTCACCCTCCAATGGCCGCTGTGGCCAGCACACCGTGCTGATCTGAAGGCAGGAGCCAGGTGCTTCTCCTGGTCTCCCATGAGGTGCAGGGCCCAAGCACTTGGGCCATCCTCCACTGCACTCCCTGGCCACAGCAGAGAGCTGGCCTGGAAGAGGGGCAACCGGGACAGAATCCGGCACCCCAACCGGGACTAGAACCCGGTGTGCCAGCGCCGCTAGGTGGAGGATTAGCCTGTTGAGTTGCGGCGCCGGCCAACTGAAATTGCTATTTCCTTTAACACTTCAATTAGCCCCTCAGTCTCGCCTGAGATAAGCAGCCACCAAGAAATACACCTCAAACAAAACTTATAATATTAGTGTTTTTCATAAATTTCTATGTTGAATTACTGTAATCTACACACCATCATAAATGGTATTTTATAAAGTCAATGTTTATTTATTCTCCTTTTTTTTCCTTCTTTTTTTGCCCCCAGAAGCCCTTTATTTCAGAAATAAAAACCTCATGCTTTTCATAAATACAACTCTAGGAATACAGTGATTCTTCCCTCCCACCCACACTCCCACCCCTCTTCCTCCTCAACCTGCATGTAACAGGTGTAGTGTGAGGGGCATTCGGCCTGGGCGTTCAGGTGCTCATACAGATGCTGGGGCCCCCATCTGAGTGCCTGGGTTAGGTTTCCGGCTATAGACCCCAATTCTGTCTTCTTGCTTGGGGTGCCTGAGAGGCAGCAGTGAATATTCAAGCAGTAGCTGCCTGCCACCAACATGGAAGGCTGGGATTGAGTTCCTGGCTCCTGGCTTCAGCCCAGCCCTGCCCTGACACTCCGCAGGAAGAGGGAGTGAATCGGTGGATACAAGCTCTTTCTCTCTCTGTTTCTCTCTGCCTCTCAAATAAGTTAATTTTTTGAGTTGCTCTATAAGAAATGTTTCCACTGTTTATTAAACAACCTTGTTCAATATACAACACTCGTAAATACATAAGAGCTAAAGTTCACTCACGTCTCTTTTACGCTGATCCTTTTTCAACTGTGCGATCTCTCTGTTTCTTCTAGACTCCGTCAATCTGGCTTTCTCTTGCTCTTCTTTCATTTGCTTCATTAGACGAACCTAAAATCAGGCATACACAGCTACTGCGATTGCTCCTGACAACGTTCAGCACACAAACCGCACACACAAAAGGAAACACTTAGAAATCTGAGCACTTAAGAAGAAAACATGTAGAGTTTTGCTGCCCATTTTAAAAAACCAAGTCTCATTTTTGCAGGATTAAAACATTATTTCAAATACATTTCCACTGAACTGCCTAGTGGTCTATGCTTCTAATATTCAGTGTTCAATTGTTTGATAACTTGAATGAGATTTTTACTACCAACAAGGCTGTCTGACAGTGAACCAGTTACTTCAATTCTCCAGGCTTTGATTTTCTCATCTATGAAATGAAAATTATTAAATTATGAGAATTCAACGAGTTAATACCTGTCCAATACTTATAACCGTGCCTGGCATATAGAAACAGTCTAACAAATTTTACCTATTGTTATTTTTGTCATCAGCAACTACAGAACAATCCTAACTACTTCCTAAAGCATTCCTAAGCCAGCTATCTTATGTAAATTACACAGATTTTCATGCCTAAGAGTAATCATCCTTAAAAACAGGTAACAGATCAGGACCCACATATTCTTTGCTCAGAGGAAGAAAACTTGTATTTTTCTATGCTCATGAAAGATAAACACCAAATTCAAGTCAGTTTTCACCTCCTGGGGAATGGGTATAGGAGCAGGAAGAGGTACACAGAAATCTTAGTGTCTACTTACAACATCTTAAACTAGACAGTTGGTACAGTATGCATTGTGTTGTCACCCTTCCCCCACAATGTGAAATATTTTACACTTTTGTTAACGATGTGTAAAGGTTTTCAGAGGAGAAATATCTATCAAGGTCTAAGACATCTGCCGACTACATGATTGTCAGCTACACTAGAGAGAGGGGGTGTGACCCTCAACTGAGTGTTGGCCCTTGGAAACAACTTCTAATGTCAAAGGAAGTACATCACTTGCAGAACTGGGTTACTTTTCACTGACTATGGAAGGAACCACAATCATATTTGTGTCCCAAATGACACCAGCGTCTCCAACATGCAGCTCTACTGGGCCACGGGACCATACCTTGGTCTTCTTCATCTCCATCACATCCTGCTGCAGCTTCTTCAGCTGCTTCTCATACTGGGACTGGTTTTTCAGCAGCCTGGCATGCTCCTTCTGAGCCGCCTGAAGCCTCTGCAACTCCTTGTTCATGGCTTGGAGCTTCTTCTCATATTCGGACTTCACTTTTTTTGCCTTCTCTTCTGAGTAAGATTCTACTGAACCTAAGTGAGCAAAAGATATTTGTACTGACTTGTTCTTGTGAGACGCAGATTATCACTTCACAGATTCACAGCCTATGGCCTTGGAGAAAAGCTGCCTCATACACACACCCCGGAGGCCAGGGATTATTCCACCATCCTTTTTTTTTTTTTTTTTGACAGGCAGAGTGGACAGTGAGAGAGAGAGACAGAGAGAAAGGTCTTCCTTTGCCGTTGGTTCACCCTCCAATGGCCGCCGCGGCTGGCGCGCTGCGGCCGACACACCACGCTGATCCGAAGGCAGGAGCCAGGTGCTTCTCCTGGTCTCCTACCACAACCCTTTTCTTATCCTTTTTTTTTTTTTTTAAAGATCTATTTATTTATTTGAAAGTCAAAGTTTTAGAGAGAGAGAGAGAGAGAAAGAGATCTTCCAATGGTTGGCTCTCTTCCCAAATGGCTGCAATGGCCATGACTGGACCAAGCCACAGTGAGGATCCAGGAATTTCTTCCAAATCTCCCACATGGGTGCAGGGGACCAAGAATTTGGGCCATCTTCTGCTGCTTTTCCCAGACCATTACAATGGAGCTGGATCAGAAGTGGGGCAGCCAATACACAAACTAGTACCCATGTTGCAGGTGGCAGTTTAACCCGCTATGCCACACCATTAGCCCCTCTCTTCTTTTCTTAACTTGTTTCATGATTATTAGAATTTGTTTTTCTTATTTATATGTCCCTCATGGATTGAATTTCTGGCTTTGGACTGGCACGGGTAGGGCTATGTGGGCATTTAGGGAGCAAACCAGTAGATCAGAGTGAGTTCTCTCTTTCTCTGCCTCTCAAATAAATACAAATAACACTAAAGTTAACTCTATACTGATAATAAATAAATATGTACCCATTATAAAACAGAAAAACACACAGATGAAAATACTTAAATACCTATATAGCACTACAAAAAGAACAATAATATTTAACATAATGAGACAAATCAATAATACCTGAATATTTATTTATTTATTTTTATTTCTTTGACAGGTAGAGTTATAGACAGTGAGAGAGAGAGACAGAGAGAAAGGTCTTCCTTCCATTGGTTCACCCCCCAAAATGACCACTACGGCCAGAGATGGGCCAGGCCAAAGCCAGGAGTCAGGAATTCAAGCCAGGTCTCCTACATAAGTGGCAGAGAAGACACCTCCTTCATCCTCCCGACAAGAGTATGTATAACAGAAAGCCGGAACTGAGAAAGAAGCCATGACTGGAATCCAACATGGGACGCAAGCGTCCTAAGCAGAGACTTAACCAGTGCATCACACGGCCACTTGCACACTAACATTTAATACAGCTAGAGAACCATGATGGGACATACATAATTTTTCAAAAAAAATCTCATACTTTGCTTTGCAAAGAATAATCATAATGTGACTCTAACTTTTTTCTTCTACAGGAAAAGAAGGCAAAGCCCACTTGCTTCCACTTGACCCTTCAGGTGAACCCCAGGGAAGTCTCACCCAGGTTCTGAAGCACCTGGTCCCTCTCCAGCTGAGTGTCCCGGATCTTATGCTGCAGCACCATCAGCTTCTCTTCATATTGCTTTTTCAGCGTCTGCAGCCTCTTCTGGCTGTTTTCTAGCTCATCAATCAGCTTTTGCTTAATGGCAATTTCACAAGTAATGTTCGCTAAGTCTGCTTGGTAGTTGGCTGTTTATAAAGGAAGAAAATAAAAATACTAGGAATATGCCGAAGTATCATAATTCCAGCTTTCAAACCACAACATAAAGAGTCGTCATCAACATCCAGATATTTACTTGGTAGCTATTAGGGAGATTTTCTGGGAGAATGAAAAACTAAAAGGTGAACAGAAAGTGCTCCCATTAGGGACAACAGACGCTATCTGTACCAAACAAACGTGCAAACGACACAACGCCTGACCCAAGCAGATGAAGCTTAGGTGCCTTGGAGGGCGCAAGTGGGTCAGGACGAATAAAAGCTGCATTCATCACAGGTGAAATGGATGCTTTCTTTGTGGCAACTAATAGATAAAGTGTAAGAAAAAGGTAACGTAGAAGAGTGCAATCGGCATCTCGAGATTCGATTATCGTTTACGGACCTTGTCTATGCTGCTGAGGACCAGTGGTCTTTCTGGTTGAATTATTGTTGACTTCTTTATTTAGTGGAGGGTTAAGCTTGTGATTAGAAAGTAAACTGAAATTATACCATCACAAAAATTAAGAGAAAAATAAAAAATGAAGAAAGAGGGGTAGCAACAGTGAGGCAGGAAGGGTGAGAAGCATCACTATGCTTTTTAAAGCTTTATATGTGAATGAAATCTGTCCTTTTATATAAATAAATAACTTTTTTTTATAAAAGAGATCATTCTTCAAACTGTAAGCAAATAAAAAAAGCTTTCTGTGAAAGCCAAAACAACTCCACCAACTGAAGTCTGGCCCTGCGTGAGAGTGCAAGTACCTTTTTCGTCTGATTCGGAATCTGAATCATCAGAGCTTTCTCCCCCTTCCATGTCCTCTTCCTCCTCCTCCTCCTCTTCTTCTTCATCCTCATGATCACTCACTTCTTGGCACTCTTCCTAAAAGGTGATTTGCAATCATTAAAAGCACAACACTGGCAAAGAAACCAGTGACCTCATTAAGTAAGAGAATGCAGACTACAAAGTACAGAAACACAGAACTTCTACTTTTCATCAGTTCAAACATTATGCCAAGAATTTCACCTTATTACTAATAATTTTATCTTACAACTAAGAGCATTTCATCCATCATGGCATTCTTTCTCATAAACACACACACACACACACACACACACACGGCCTTCCTAATACACCAGGCAGAACTGCCAGTATTTTACAGCTCACATTCTAAAGAAAGAAGTCCTCAAGGAAGTGGTGCAACCTAGATGCATGAAGACCATTTCCTTCCCTACATGCAATACTGTACAGTCATCAGCAACCAGGAGCAACCTGACCCAGTGACCAAAACACACACATTCACTCTTTCCCACTTACCACTTCCAGCTCATTACTCTCTCTCTCTGAAACCCCTTTGTCTTCCTTCTTCTCCTGGTCAGTATCTGTATTATCCTCCTTATTAGCCACACTAAAATAAAATAAAAAAAAGGAATGGAAAGGTATAGTGTTAAAGTGGAGAGGAAAATTATTTTTTCTATCAAATTTTTAAAAACTATTAACTACATGTGAAAAAAAATTAAAGTTGGTCAGTTGACTGCACAAAGCTATCCCATCTATTGCTTCTAATGCTTCAGAGAAAAATAGAAAACTTGCTCAACCAATGGTACACTGATTCATATCACTGGGAAAGGCTAAATGTCTAGAAACACTGAGGAATGGATTACATCCTGAAGCATGAGATCTGATAAGACAGCTAAGAAATAGTCACAGCAACAACCAACTAACCACAATGCAAAGCAATCGAATTGCAAAACAAATCAAACAAACATTTTTGTTTTCTCATCTGAATACCTTAAACTTTTCCTATATTAATACAAAGGTCTAACAACTGATGCCCTAATAATACTAAGGGTAAATCTAAAGCCCCCAAATCCTCCTGCTCTCAGTAAGTTTGTCGACACTGGCTGGACCCCATCAGAGTGCCCCCTTTCCAGTATCAGCATAAACACTTTATTCTTATGTCATTCCCAACAGCAGAGAGAGGGGCTGCTTCTCACTATGTTCTCCGGAATGGGTCTTTGAGGGCTAGCAATGTGGCGTAGCAGGGTAAGCTGCCACTTGCGATGCCAGCATCCCATATGGGCACCAATTTGCATGCCGGCTGCTCCATGTCCGATCCAGCTCTCTGCTTACATGCCTGGGAAGGCAGCGGAAGTGGAGCAGACTCGCACTAGACTCCCACATTTAATCAAGCTAAATAACACCAAGAAAGTGAACTTCGAGTGAATCTATCTGAGGAAGATTTGTTTTTGTGCTAGATTTTCAAATCACTAAGAATCAAAAGAATACTCTAATAAGGCAATAATTCTCCAAATAAAATTCCTCTAGAAAGAAATTCAAACCCCTATCAGAATAGATTCATAGCAGCCATCATTTCTTTCTGTTATATTAAATAATACTATGGATTTATTTTTAGCTTCAAAGCAAAAAAAATTAATCTCATTAATACCCTGTTATTATTCCTTAACTCTAAAGTTTAATTCTAGCCTTCTATTCTAAGATATTTTTGTACTCAGAGCAACATGAGGTTCAATATTTTTCCCTGTAAGCATTCTTTGGAGTTTGTTGTATTTACTCTCTGTCTTTTCCACTAGACTGTAAGCCTCACTGGGGCAGGGATATTCATGTTTGGCTCAGCACTACATCCCTGAGAGGGCCTGGCATTCTCTCTGTTCCTGTTAATTAAACCAATCCCTGTAAACTATGCACAAACATCTCAGTTTGTGTCATGTACTAGCTGATACTGGAGCACAGCAGTGCAGCCCAAAGGTGCATAAAGACGCAAGGAAGACAGCACCTCTCTGGACTGAAGGGGAAACACCAGCAGGAATGCGAAAAAACAGACTCAGCTGGAGCAGTCAGGTAAATTGTAACAGGGCTCCATGACTACCCTTAACTCATGGTGCTACAGAGAAACACACTTGCAAACCAAGACCCAGGTAGGAAAAGCCTTCAAGACAGACAGGAAACAATGTTATGTGATACACAGAATGTCACTAGGGTTGCTTATGATATGTCAGGACTGCAGATTCTAGCATGCATTTCAGGCTGAGAATCTATAGCAAAAGGTCCCTTCCTCCAGTCACCAAATTAGAAGGCCAACAACACATACCCCAGCAGCGCTGCACACTAAGGGTTAAGGTCTGAGGCTGAGGGCTAGGGAAGGGACTGTGTCAGGTAGACATGCCCCTGGGCTTGCTACCTGCTCCCCTGTGCAGTGCCCTATCCCACCTGCGACTGCTGCAGCACTCAGCTTCTATTCTTGTCAGTTCCTTCATTATGTCCATGCCAAATTCCCTTCCGCTGGGGTTACAACCACACGGCCCCCTCATTCTGAATACATGACAGTATTTTCACTTACATGTAAATTTAACTCATATATGCTGTTCACACCACTCTGATGCAGAAGAATCAGCAGTCATAACTTTACACGTTTAATTTATCTTAACAAATCACTTAAAGTGTAAACTCTTAAAATACACATTATAATCATTGTATAATCATTGTTAACTCAAATATTCAAGTTTTCCTTGATAAACTGAGGCAAATTGATACCTAAGTTAACTAAGCAGCAAAGGAAAATATTGAAATCTGCACTTTATATAAAATCAGAATCTTGGGAGCTGGAAGGAACATTGGTGATTAACCCTTTCATTTAGCAAACAAAAAAGAAACTGTGGCCTGAGGGAGCTGATTCACGGGAGGGGACGCACTAGGAGTCCTGGCTCCCAGGTCCATATTCCAGAATCTTGCGCTCAAAGTTCAGTTCACAGGCGAAAAGCACCTGCAACACCCAGGAGCTGCTGGAGCTGCAGAACCCCGGCTCCAGCGCGGTCCTCCTGAGCCAGACTCTTCAGAGGAGCAAACGCCCAGGAGAAGGGCTGCCCTGGAACACCAACTGCCCTCTCTCTCCTCCAGGGCTCACGTAGAGCCGCACGTGAGCTCTGCTCGCTCAGCACACTGAAGACTGAGCCTTGCAGGGAATAAAACGCGTCCACACACAGCTCTGACAGGACACCTCATTTTGACTTTTCATTAAGAAGAAATTCCATAACTGTAATGCTTAATTTAATTCCAGTAGAAAACGTGTATTCCTAGGGGTATACTGGTTAGGTGAGTTCTAGTATTACTGATAGTTACAAAGTTGCAGAATACTTTTAAAAAGTTATAGACTTAAGGAATATTAGTATGTACATAAGAAAAATTATGAAATATGAAATTGTACTATGGAATGTATATTATAAAGTAATTTTCAGAAAATAAAAAACATTAAGTATCAAAATATTTAAAGATATTCACTTAACTATATAGCAAAAGTTCTCAAATTCTTATTTAAATAGATGAAATTTCTAACATATTTCTTCTAAAATACTTAAGTATTCTTTTGAGATTTTATTTTCTTAATCATTTTGATGATTTAATCTAGAAAAATTAAGTTGAGAAAAATCTATGAGGACAAGTTCTGCTAAGAAATAAAACACTACTTGCCACTTGCTTTAACAATCACAATACCAAAAAAAGCAAAATGCAAAATAGTATCATATAGAGAAATTTGGCTTCTGAATTTGCCCACGTTGCAAACATAAAAAAAGTGACACTCCTGATTTTGATACCCACTTCAAATACATTTTAAATGCAGAAATTGCTTTTAAATTTTAACCTCAGGGATACCTTGCAATTTTAACTGTAGTAAGGCCACAGTTTCCTTTTGATTTGTTGCCATTTTAATGTTGTTTTCTGACAAGATTACACCAAGTAAAGGAGAGAGGAGGGAGGGGTACACCCATGACTGCACACACAGAAGCAAAATGTCAATTCCTACCCCAGTTATAACTTCCACCCTGCTCACAAGTTTCTGAATAATAAATAATTACTAATTTTTTATTAATCATATTGCATTTTCTTGGTCATTTTTAGAGTAGAAAAGATAATTTATTATCATAATTATGATATCTGGAAATCACATGAAATTGCCTGAATTTAGATTCAAATAACTGGTGAAGGTTTTGTTCCTTAAAAGTACATTGTTAAAAATTTGCTTTGACATGTCATTTTTACAAAGTCATCATTTCTTTTAGGAGCACCCAGTTTATCTAGTCTGAAACAATCTATAATTCTATAACACATCTTCTTGTGAATGGCAACTAAGTATGCAAATGACATTTTAATGAAAAACCTGGGAAATATTCCAACCTTCTTTCTTCTCGACTGCTTTCCTCAAGTTTCTGTAGCCTTCAAAATCACGGGGCACAGTATTGGAAGGCCAAGCCAATGAAGGACAAACCCGACAGTAAAAGGCGAGAGTGGTGAGGAGGTAAAAATGATACATGAGCTTGAAGACTTCAAAATGAATTTTAAAAGATATCATCAAAGGACAATACACAGTAAAAAGGCAATACATTTTGAATGAATAAAAAGTAAGTAGGAAATCATGCAGCATTGTGTTTAAGAAGAGTATACAGCCTCTCAGTTGACCAGTTCAACATTACAATGCAGTCTCATGGTCACTGATCATGGGATGCCATTGAACTTATCATTGTATAACGAACTTTTTTGTCAGCTTCTCAAAAAGCCTGCTTTCAATAAGATCCTCCTCTGTTTATACCTTTACAGAAGATCTTTTCACAGCATCATTAAAACAATTTCACAAAGTAATGCCTTTATACCATAACATGAAAATATCACTAACACTACATACTAGGATTCTACTCTTGAAAATGCATTTTCAATTTTAATATTTACATGTGAACATTAAATCTAAAAAATAAATTCTATTTCAAAATTATACATGAAATGGTATGACAGGCAAATGAGTATGGTTGTTATGAAGTCAACGAAAAACTGTGATTTATTAATTAGAAATAAAATCTCATAATATTAAGGTTAAAGATTTTATTATATTGTCATAAATCACCTACCAAAAGGAAGTATCTAAGGCAAAGTTTTAAAAAACGGGGAATACAGTACTTTCCACTAATAAGGGATTTTTGCATCAGAAAAGTCTGACTTTAGATTCAGTTCATTTGCAGTATAATTTAATCAATATCCAGCACACAAGCATGGGGGATCTTCACTCAGTGAAACGTACTGTATACCAGGATTTGTTGCATAGACAAAAGGATAGATGTGCTAGGCTCCGATGATCATGTATCAATATGGATACAGCATCCTTCCGCTCCAATTCCAAAACTATCGTTGGAATCACCAGTATTTATGAAATGAAGTGACTGAGCCAAGACAGGCATTATTTCATCAAGACTATTTTTCTCATATTGACTTCATAAGTGTGCTCACGGCTGGCGCTGCGGCTCACTAGGCTAATCCTCCACCTAGCGGCGCCAGCACACCGGGTTCTAGTCCCAGTCGGGGCCCCGGATTCTGTCCTGGTTGCCCCCCTTCCAGGCCAGCTCTCTGCTGTGGCCAGGGAGTGCAGTGGAGGATGGCCCAAGTGCTTGGGCCCTGCACCCCATGGGAGACCAGGAGAAGCACCTGGCTCCTGCCTTCGGATCGGCCGCGGCGGCCATTGGAGGGTGAACCAACAGCAAAAGGAAGACCTTTCTCTCTGTCTCTCTCTCTCTCACTGTCCACTCTGCCTGTCAAAAAAAAAGTGTGCTCACACAGGATTTTTATTCATGGGTCTGCAGCCATTTCTCTCAGTCACCCTCTACAGAGCGATGAAAATACGAGGCTAGCAATCTTTCTGAGAAGTAAGTATGCAGACCGACATCTACCCAGGATCATGGTCTAGTCCTAAAACTAGAAAAGGAGAGAAATCTGTGTGTTTCTACAGTTTCAACCAGGGTCACTCGATGCAAACAGAGTGCAGTCTGATAGACAAGTGAAGTCTTTCATGTTCCAAGTCATTTAAAGCTAGATATCCAAAATAAGGGACTGAATGTGTAGCTGATAAATTTTCTTTGTCCAAACACACACAAAAAAGGAAACAATATTTACATCTAAACTGGGCTTAGATTGAGCAAGCAGGCTTAGACTGATGATAATAAGCTATCAAGTCCCAAAAGACCTGGGTCCCTGGTGGAGAGCTGAAATTTTCTGTTTTCGACATAAAGAAATTTTTTTTTTTACCTTACACAAGAGAGCTATGTCAAAATGTATAAATGACATGAGCTAATAAATAAGCTTTAAATGCCTTCCTGATTGCCTTTAAAAAACATTACAATTGAGGGCAGCACTGTGGCATAGCAGGTAAAGCAGCCACCTGTGATGCTGGCATCCCATATGGGCACTGATTTGAGTCCTGGCTGCTCCACTTCCCATACAGCTCTCTGCTAACGTGCCTGGGAAAGCAGTGGAAGATGGCTCATGTCCTTGGGTGCCTGTACCTATGTGGGAAACCTGGAAGAGGCTCCTGGCTCCTGGTTTTGGACTGACACAGCTCCAGCCATTGCAGCCCTTTGGGGACTGAACCAGTGGATGGACTACGTCTCTCTCTCTCTCTCTCTCTCTCTCTCTCTCTCTTTCTCTCTCTCTCAACCCCCCTCCCCCACCTATCTGTAACTCTGCTTTTAAATACATAAATCTTTAAAGACAAATTACATGGCTGGTGCTGTGGCTCAGTGGATTAATGCCCTGGCCTGAAGTGCTGGTATCCATATGGGCGCCGGTTCGAGACCCGGCTGCTCCACTTCTGATCCAGCTCTCTGCTATGGCCTGGAAAAGCAGTAGAAGATGGCCCAACTCCTTGGGCCCCTGCACCCTCGTGGGAGACCAGGCAGAAGCTCCTGGCTCTTGGCTTTGGATCGACCCAGCTCCAGTCGTTGTCGCCAATTGGGGAGTAAACCATTGGATGGAAGACCTCTCTCTCTCTCTGCCTTTCCTCTCTCTGTGTAACTCTGACTTCCCAATAAATAAATAAATCTTAAAAAAAAAAAAGACAAATTACAATTGGAGCCAGCATTGTGGTGTAATGGATAAAGCTGCTGCCTAAGATGCCAGCATCCCACACAGGCATCGGTTCAAGACTTCAGATCCTGCTCTCTACTAATGCACCTAGGAATGTAGTGGAAGATGGCCTAAATGTTTGGGTCCCTGCACCCATATTGGAGACCCAGAAGAAGCTCCAGGCTCCTGGCTTCAGCCTGACCCATCTCCAGCCACTGAAGCCATTGGGGAGTGAATCAGCAAATGGAAGGTCGGTCTCTCTTTCTCTTTCTCTCTCTCTAACACTGCCTTTCAAATACATAAATAAATCTTTTAAAAATTACAATCAACAGTTCATAAAGACAGTTGAGGGGCAGAGAAATAATCTAATGCCCTGACACTTCTCCATAATTTAGTGGAGCTCAGTTTTTTTGCTAGCCCTTCTTCTGTAGCAGGTGAGAGACAGAGACCAATCTCACCAATCACTTTTAACATTTGTGTACTTGAACAATAAGTAAAGTCTCTTCAATTAATTAAAGGTAAATAACCTGGCTAAAATGACACCCATGACCCCTGGACCCTTGTTTTCCTATCTCTACACCTTTGGTTCATTTTACAGCTCAACAGAAAACGAGCACTAAACAAGCAGAAGTGTAACCCTTAAAACCTCATCATTTGCTACCGATTACACCTTTGACAAAGACAGTGGCAGAAGATGATGAAACTGAGGTAAAGAGGACTGGGGGCAAACTGCTGAAACTCAAGCACGACTTTTGTTATCAATGAGCCAGCTGCTCCTCCTCCTACCAACTCCTGAGACTACTACAGCTGAAACCAACTACACAAAGTAAAATACATTAGACAACAAGGATGCCCTAAATAACATGGAGCCAAAGGAAACAGGGACATAGCCACAAAAGTAGCTTCCCAGAGCCCAGCCCAGAAGTCAAGTCCCAGATGAGGTTTAGAAACTCTAAGACAAAAGATGGTGAAACATCTTCCCTACTGTGTTTGATTCTTTTTTTTTTTCTTTCTTTCATTAAGTTATACTGCCCAAAATTTCACCATGTGGATTCAGGGATCCTTTTCAAAAGTTATAAACAACCTAGAAAGGAAGCTCATTAGCCATCAGTCATTTCCAGTGGTGCGAATTTCCTTCACTCAGATGGCTTTGCTCCTGAAGATAAAGAATAAAAGTAGATAACTCTGAAATCGGGAGCACTCTGGGGAATGGACGATGGGTGGAGGCCGACTTGGGTGAGAAGTGGACAGTGGGAGGGAGGCACAGGTCAGGGCAGCGCTGACCACATAACATCAGCAAGAACAAAAGACTAAAGCAGAAACTCACAATTTGTTTCCCCAAAGATTGGCTGTCACTCACCAAAGGGAAGATTTCTTTATTCTATTTGACCTTTCCTACTCCCTGCTAAATTGCGGTTACCACACTACAAAATGTGCAAAAATCATTTTGTGTTAGTGAGCTAGATGTCACGTATCTATAACACTTTCTAGAGAAAAATTAGTCTGAACTCCCCAACAACTAATTTTTTAATGAACTGAAACTTGGAACTTTGCAATGTCCTCCTGATAAAAGAGATATATATGAGACATGCAATACAACTCAACCAAAATCTATCCCTCCAGGCAGGAGCTACCGTACCCAGGCAATGCTCCCAGAACACTCAGTCCTCACTCCGTAAAGCTGCTGTCATCTAAACACTTCTGGACTCTTGGCTTACTGCTTTTTTTTTTTTAATTACTGTTTGACTATATTGTTTGTCCATATTTTTACACACTTGCTCTTAGCCAAAAGGCCAAGAAGCGATTGCTTGTCCATATTTTTAAAATGGGAACTCACATGACATGCTTCAAAAGTTATTAGGACCAAAATATGATGAGCTAAATGCTTTATCAAACTCAGTAAAATAATATTTATTTTTCATATAGAACATTTCAGCTTAGTGTGGTAAGACAAACTCCATTAAATTCTACGCATTTTTATAAATAGTGATATGAATTCATAAACTGCCCCCCTCAATACTTTTATAAAACATAGTATTTGTACATAATATTTTAAAAATATAAGGTAAATTTTTTAGGCTCAGAAATTAAATAGGTGGCAGTTTTTAAAGATACACTATATGATGTGTTTGAAAATGACTGATAGACCATTTTCAAAAGCATTCTATAGGAGTACTAATTTGGGGAAGTGGTAATTCTTCTCAGTCTAAGCTGTCACTTCTTCTAGGCCTTACCCTTTTGTTAGGAAATAACTTATTTTTTTTCTGAGAAAATATTGTACTTAAATACTTAAATTTACATTTAAATCTAGCTGCTTAGTGAGTTCTATTAGCATTTACTATTATTTTTATCATAATAATTAATGTGTATCATAATCATTGAATTAGTCATAACTTTCCATTTTGATGTAACTACTATCTTTTTAAACTTTATTTACCTTACAAAGGATAGGAGTTTATAATAAAGCACCAAGACACATCATAATAATTATGTGTATTTCCATAGTACTGTTTATCAGCTTAAAATGTTTGTTAGCATTCTTTGTCACAAAAAAAAAAAAAAGAAAAAAGAAAAAACCTTAACCAAAGGTATTAATTTGGGACACCTATCACCACCATAAATATGACCAAAGCAGCATTCTATCGATTTTCCACTTCTCAAACTCAACAGATGATTAAGGCAGTATCTCTAAACTTACCTCAAAAGGAAAGGGCAAAATCAGTTCCAGACCTTGAAAAATATTCCTTTGCTTATATTCATTTGTTATTCCTGAACACAAGCCACCTAGCACTTACAAGCAGGTCCTTGCATTTGCCATTTTTACCAACTACAGAATCAGATTTTACAAGTCAATGATAAGTCATGTGCAAAAGTCTCACGTCACTCAAGCAGTATGTTGGGAAACACTGGTTTCAGTAATCCTAGGATCATTACTTCAGCCTTAATTGCCATCCAAAAGAGGAGAGCTAATCATTATACATTTCTTAATGCTGCCACAGTCAGTCAGCCATGAGAAACACCTATTAAGACATTAATATCTCAAGAATGCAATTCCAATGGCAATGCCTCCTAACCATAAGAGTGTAACTCCTTGTTTTAATTATGCTAATCACTCATTTTTGCTCAAGGACACAAAGCAGAGTCAATTAAGCTTCCCTTGACTTTGATCTATGGACTATTCAAGAATGAACTGCCTTGCCTGGTTACCTAAATAAAATTCTACATCAGGTAAGCAAAGCAGCAGGCAATAAGTGACAACAATCATTCCATAAAGCACTCCCTCTGTAACAAACCATGTGACAAGAGGGCTTTGTCTCCTTTTGAATATCTAGCCAAAAATGCTTAAATTGAATTTGACTGGCATGTTCAAAACATGCTCAGTAAATGACGACTGCACCACAGAATCAATGCTTAAGCATGTAAAGAAATTATGAATATTTAACCACTCACACATTACAAGTGGTCAGATTCTCATCTTCTGCTTCTCTACACCCAGCTGATTTCAAAGGGAGATATTATCAGGATGCAAGGAAGAGAAAGCCTCCAAAAGTAGAGAAAAGCGGAGGGACTCTTGGCTGGAAGATTCGGAAAGCCTAAAATACCCTGAACAACTCTCACATAATCAAATAAGAAGCCCTACAGAAAGAACGAAAGACAGCAAATGATGTTATATGACTTTCTGATGGATTAGTTTAGCCTTTAGTTAAACTAATCTACAATGGAATGAGAATAGCCATGAGACCAGTTAATTGCTTTAGGAAATGGGAAAAAAACAAAACACTGAGTTGTAATGATACAGCAAGCTTTGCACACAAGATGAATGGAATGCATAAGCAGGTATTAGGAGAAATAAAAGAACTAATAATAATTTTACCTGTCACAGCCTAAATAAAATTCATTACCATACTTTTATCCTCAACTTATTTTTCTTACATATATGTTGAGATAGGGCATAAAACAGTATATACTTGTCATTGTCAGCTAACTTAAATGATTTATGTCGTATAAGACTATATATACCCATTGTAACTGCAAATTTAAATAATCCAACAACAAAAAAAAACATGATTCACATAGTGGTCATTTTATATTACTACCTTCTTTTCTTCTTCCTTTCCTTCCTTTTCAGCTTCTCTAAGTCTTTCTTCGCTAGATCTATGATTTCAATCGTCTCTTTGTCTGAGGATAATATAGTGGGAGAGAACGTGGCCGATCCACTGAAATACGGCGATCTTGCTGTGGCTCTCGTCAAGTTTTTCCGGAGGTTCTCGTTCACGGCTTCACTTTCTAGTAATTTTGCCCTAGTGAATAAAAATATATAAATTGGAAAATATTTGTATTGTGATAAAAAAAAAACATAAAATTCACCACCCCAGCCATTTCTGAATGGACAGCTCAGCAACACAACTGCAATCTTCCCTTTGCTTCTCTGGCAACCATTCCTTCCCATCTGCAAATCGGACTGCCTCGGGAATAAACAGGAAGTATTGCAGATGTGCAGTGCTGCAAGCTGAAAATATGTCCAAAATGTATTTCAATATGGCTACAAGGTACAGTATTTTTTTTTTTTTTTTGACAGGCAGAGTGGACACTGAGAGAGAGACAGACAGAGAGAAAGGTCTTCCTTTGCCGTTGGTTCACCCTCCAATGGCTGCTGCGGCCAGCACACCGCGCTGATCCGATGGCAGGAGCCAGGTGCTTCTCCTGGTCTCCCATGTGGGTGCAGGGCCCAAGTACTTGGGCCATCCTCCACTGCCTTCCCGGGCCACAGCAGAGAGCTGGCCTGGAAGAGGCACAACCAGGACAGAATCCGGCGCCCCGACCTGGACTAGAACGCAGTGTGCCGGCACCGCAGGCGGAGGATTAGCCTATTGAGCCGTGGCGCCAGCCTACAGTATTTTTAATAAATGTCTTAGCAAATACTAACATTTAAGATACTTTTTAATTCACTGACTGAAAAGTTATCCATTTGAAATCACATCCTTAGTGGTCTAAAGAACTCTGTATCTTCAGATGCCAGCAGCAGTAATCAGTTAACTTGAATTTTGGCCAGTGGGCAACAGTTGTTCTTGCTTTGAAATCTCATTATTTAAACTTAAAATACACAAGCAGCATGGTCCCCTCAGTTTGAGTTCCTCATTCCCTGTATAATAATAGCATTTCCAAAACTTTGCAAGGAATAGCTAGCCAAACTTGCCCCTCACAGGCTGATAGACGTCTGGCTCCTGAAAATGCCATGGGAAAAGATGATGTCTCCAAGGAAACCTAAGTTTTATAATCAAAAACATTCTTTTGTTTGCTCAAGCAGTCCTAATTATGACAAGAGAATAATGTCCCTACTGTTAGTCCCATGTGAAAACACGGAATGCTGAGATCCGGAAGTACCTGAGACTCGAGACTAATGCATCATTCCCTCTACATACATTGGCTTTAAACTACCAAGAACCCAATTATCTCCTTTAAAATAATAGATACCCAAAGCTAATCTGGCACAGAGTCACTGAGACAGGACTCCTGGAAGACAATACTACCCATGTCTGTCTCCACACTGTACTACTAAGCCCTCTGCCATAAGTTCAAGTATTTCAGAGGAAGACGCTGGATGATCTGCAACCACTAAGCTCTAGCAGACCCACTAAGCCCAGTGGCTTCTCATTAGCTACCAAAAATTATACATGAGTCTTAAAATCAGCTAGTGATGTGGTGTACTAAATCCATAAACACAAATAGTCTTTAATGAGATTGTTGTATATCTGATGCCACGTATGAGCAGAACACTAATCACAGTGCGCTTAAATGGCTCAACAGCTATGTATGAGCTTTCAGATTAATTAAATGACTTCCAAGTTGCTTTAGAGAAATTCTAAGTATGATAGCGTTGTGCAAACCAAGAAGGCAACATAAGCACAAAAACTGAACTATTAAACATTCAAGGTCGAATTCATGAGTATCAAATAAGACAAATATAAACAATATTTTATGCTTTTCTACATTTTCTATTGCTAGCACAAAGCCTCAGTATATATTGAAAAATGCAAAGAATGAATACGATATAATAAATCAGCTAACAGTGATAACCTGTATTTTAATTGGCTCTTTAAGTATTGTATAGTAAACGGCGACTTTTTTTTTTTTTTTTTACCTGATTTTAAAAGCTGGCATTTGGCAAGAGCATTTCAAGGCTTCTTTCATTCTGATGCTGACAAAGGCTAAAACCTCTAGGGCTCACCTCCATAAACCCTAGGCTACATTAGCAGAACCTGCTTTCTACATATGCTGTAAAGAGAGTTCTCTCTTTCTCTGCCTCTCTTCCCACCCACACTCTTGTTGCCACCTGCACTTCATTACGCAGTGAGAAGCCAGGGGAAGGTACGGACTGGGGCTCTGAGTCTCTAGAGGCCATACCCTTTCCTCAGTGAATACAGATGAAAATACAAACTTTTGTACGATTGTCAGGAGAATCAATAATGAAAAGAATTTAAAACTTCTCTAATTTAACACTGAACGATGATTTTTATCAAAAATTGGAAACAACATAATTAACTTACAGTAGGAGATTAAATAAATCAACTGAAACCACACAGTACTACACAGAGCCATACAAAAATCATGTCAGGAAAATACTTAATAATATTGCAAAATGCTTATGAGTCTATCAACAAATTCCAAAGAACATAATAAAACAACATTCACACTGCTGTCTATTCTGTTGAAGTACACCAAAATGTTAACATCAGTTTTTGGAATTGTGGGAAATATAGATTATTGAAATTTTCTTTCTTTGCATATTCCCTATTTTTGCAAAAGTTCTACAAAAATTTAAATTCCCTGATCTTACAAGTTTTTCTCAGCCATACTATGCCATTGCTTGTATATACAAATGCTACTGATTTTTGTATGTTGATTTTATATCCTGCAACTTTACCAAACTCTCCTATGAGTTTCGACAGTGTGTTAGTAGTCTTTTGATTCCTCTATATATAGGATCATGTCACCTGAAAACAGGGATAATTTGACTTTCTCCTTTCCAATTTGTGTCCCTTTGATTTCTATTTCTTGCCTAATAGCTCTAGCTAAAACTTCCAGAACTATATTGAAAAGCACTGGTGAGTATGAGCATCTGTGTCTGATTTCAGATCTTAGTGGAAATACTTCCAACTTTTGCCCATCCAATATGGCAACACCATGGCTCAGAAAGAGCTTATAAGGTCAGTCCCATTCATGATAGCTAGAAAAAAAATAAACACTTTGGGATAAATTTAATAAAGAATGTGAAAGATCACTACAATGAAAACTACAAAACATTAAGGAAAGAAACAGAAGACACACAAAAAAAAGGAAAAATCTTCCATGTTCATGGATTGGAATGATTAGCAACATCAAAACGTCTATTCTATCCAAAGCAATTCACAGGTTCAGTGCAATCCCAATCAAAAAACCAAGGACACTCTTCTCAGATCTAGAAAGAATGATCCTCAAATCCATATGTAACCACAAGAGACTTCAAATAGCTAAAGCAATCTTAAACAATAAAAACAAAGATGACAGCATCACAATACCAGATTTCAAGACATGCTACAGGGAAGTTATGATCAAAACAGCTTGTTAACAACTCTAAAACAGATACGAAGACCAATGAAACCCCAGGAATGAATCCACACATCTACAACTAACTAATCTTTGACAAGTGAACTCATGACAGTCTCTTAAACAAATGGTGCTGGGAAAATCTGATATCTGTGCACAGAACTATGAAAAAGACCCCTACCTTACCTCCTTTACCAAAAAAAAACACCTCACAATGGATCAAGGATGTAAACCTAAGACACAAAACTCTTCAATTACTAGTGGAAAACACAGGAGAAACAGTGCAAGACACTGGAATAGGCAAAGATCTCCTGGAGAAGAGCCTGGAAGTACAGGCAATGAAAGCAAAAATAGACAACCGAGATTACATCAAGCTAAGAAGCTTGTACACAGCAAAAGAAACACTCAACAAAGTGAAGAGGCAACCAACAGAAAGGGGAAAATATTTGCAAAATATGCATCTGATAAAGGATTGATATCAAGAATATATCAGGAGTTCAAGAAGGTCAATAACAAAACAAATAATCCAGATAAGAAATGGACAAAGGACATGTACAGGCAATGAAATACACATGGCCAACAGACACAGGAATAAATGCTCAGGATCCCTCGCCATCAGGGAAATGAAAATAAAAACCACAATGAGGTTTCACCTTGCCCAACCAGAATGGCTCTCATTCAAAACAAACGCTGGCAGGGTGTGGAGCAAAAAGTACCCTAATACACTGTTAGTGGGAATGTAGGCTAGTACAATCATTATGGAAGACAGTCTGGAGATTCCTCAGAAATCTTAAAATAGATCTACCATGTGACTGAGCCATCCATTCCTCAGAATTCACCCAAAGAAAATGAAATATGCATATGAAAAGTTATCTGTACCCCTATGTTTATAGCAGCTCAATTCACAGTACAAAGACATGGAACCAATCCAGATGTCCATCAACTGATGACTTGACAAAGAGAATGTGATGGGGCCATTGCTGTGGCATAGCAGGTAAAGCCACCGCCTGCAGTGCAGGCATTCCATATGGGTATCTATTCAAGTCTCAGATGCTCCACTTCTGATCCAGCTCTCTGCTATGGCCTGGGAAAGCAGTAGAAGATGGCCCAAGTGCTTGGGCCCCTGCATCCATGTGGGAGACCTGGAAGAAGCTCCTGGCTTTGGACAGGCCCAGCTCAATCTAGGGAGTGAACCAGCAGATTTAAGACCTTTCTCTCTCTCTCTCTCTCTAACTCTACCTCTCAAATAAATAAATTTAAAAAAAAGAAAATGTGATTTATATACATAATGGAATATTGCCCAGCCATAAAGAGAGTAAGTCCTGTCTCCTGCAACAAAATGGATACAACTAGAGAGCATTATGATTAGTGAAATAAGCTAGATCTAAAAAGACAAATATCACATGTTTTCTCTGATTAGTGACAGCTAATATATAGAAGACCAAAAAAAAAAAAAAAACTGAATATATAAAAGTGAAAATGACGTCCTACGATTTGATTATTGCTTACACCCCTTTAGGACAGGGGAATGTCTACTTTTTACTTGTTGAACATTATGCTTAGCCATACACTAAGCCTGTGATTATAAAGTAAGTTGAAAGTATGTCATTATAAAAATTAAACAAACAAACAGGAAGGAGGGAAGGAGGGAAGTATGGTTTTATTCTTAGAATTATATCCATAAAAAAATGAAATCTGTTCTCAATATGTATTTTTTTTATTTTAATACCCTAAAAAAACAAGAAGTAATAGTGATTATTATTATTTCACAAATAATGTGACTAAGGGAACTACTATTATTTTATAATTAGAATGACACTTAAAATAGAACTATTTCAAATGACATTATATAAATATAAATTTGTATTAAATTTAAAGATCCATGAATAAATATCTTTGAAACTAAGTTTTGAGAGAAATATGAATTAAGTAGTATTTATTTGGCAAAAACAGAATTTCAGAACTTGGACCTAAATAGTAATAACAATTTAGATCTTTACAGTACCTTTCATCTCAAGAAATATTATATCCTATACTTTTATTTAAGCCTCTTAATAACTGTGAAACTAGCAAGTATTATTCTTACAGATGAACAAACTAGAGTTCAAAGATGTTAAGTGAACTGCCAAAGGTCACACGCCTTATAAATAAATACCAGCTTAAATTTCAATCCACGTAATCCCACTTGAATTCTAGGTTCATTTACGCTTATCTCATAGGTAAATTATTTTTATGCTGTAAATTATAATCCTGAGATTCTAGCAGACTGCTCCCCAGAGGTGGGACACAAGTAATTAAGAAGCCATCAAGTAAGAGTTGGGCAGCTGGGGCAAGGTATAATCTCTACCAGGAAACAAAAGATCAATGACTGAACTAAGGATCCCTGAGTCACCTGTTCTCTGAAGGGCTTAAGAAATGCTCTTAACTCAAGACTTTGAAGATGCTGCTTTTAGCCACTAGATGGACCAGACATGATTCAGGCAAGTTTCCTAGGAAAGAATTCTACTGGTCCTGCCATTTGCCCAACAGTGAAGTCAAGCTTAACCACAGCTGAAGAAAACAGTCAGGAGAACAAACACAACACAGGATCAGCCCTAAAAACTGGTCAGTGCCAAGGAAACCAAGGTCACCAAGAGGAGCAGGAGGAGGACCTTTAGTCACCAAAAATCAGAGATGTCAGTTGTATCACAAGGAATTGTAAGGATGGGTCTACAGCTAAAGGAGAAGACGATGAAAGAAGAAATGTTTTGGCAGGAGCCAGGGGAGTGCACTGCCAACCACAGACAGCAACTGCAAGTCCGGGAGGGCTATGGAGCAGAGGCAGGACACAATGCCTCTCACACCGCTGCCGAAACAGAAAAGCCAGAAAAAGTACATACAGATTGACAGATGCACTCTTACACACACACACACACACACACAGCTGCATTTATTTGAGTAACACTATCCGTTGCCATTCAATGTATCTTCTCATTAGCTTTCACTTCTTGAAACATTTAAGGCATCCAGAGTGCCTTGGGAAACAGAAACAGAGGGGATAGCGTTTGCCACAGGTGCAAAACCTCCAGAATGGTCAGCGAAGAGATGGGGAAGGAGAACCCAAGGTGAGTAGGACTCAGAGCAGCTGTGAAGAACAAACTCCCCAACTTGGAGATTTCCTGCGAATGCGTGGTACAGTGATATCTGGATTGCACAGCGGCTCCTGCACGTAGCTGACAGGAGTCTTATTTCAAGAGAAAACAGCACAGCCATCAGGGCAAACCACAGAACCTGAAAATGTTCCAGAAATGATTAGCCCTGACCTTCCTCCTCACTCCACCCCCAAGACTGTTTTCATGGGTCTTCATGCCTCCGCATCAGACACAGCTACTCCCTTCACTAAATTCTGCCATTCCAGTTAATACACGTGAGCTTATTTATGTTGCTCCATGTAGACTACAAACATAGTTTATGTCATGGTTACACTGATTTTGGCATTTAGTGAGTATCTGCTGTAGTTAGCAGGAAATGTGAATGCATGTGCTAGAGAGAGGAAGGAAAATTATTAAGGATGGATGATTCATACATTAGATTAGCTGAAGAAGTTGCAGAACAGGAATAATGGGAGATTCAGACAAACTCGTGATGGTTTGCAAATACTGATCTATTCTGAAATGGTGGGGGAAGAGGTAGAGAGAAAAGAGGCACACAAGATAACTTTGTAAACACTGATTTTGTCTGTCCTCTGTGACAGTTAGGTAAACATCTATGGAGAGAGTAGGAGGATAATATGGGAAGAAAGGGAGAAGGAAGTTGCTCAGAATATAATATTATGAGACAGACAAGTATGTAGTTCCATAAAGTTTATTATGAGAAAGGTGAATATGTAGTTCCCTAAAGCTAACCTGACCAGTGGGCTGAAATATCCTTGTGAATACTTGTTGAATAGTAAGCCTGATGAAGAGAACTATCACAACATTGCAAAACTCAAAGTAAACATGTACATCAGGTGAGCTATACCTGAGATCTTCTATTTCTTTGATGTAACTGTGAATCATATTACTAATTTCCTCATTGCCTTCACCTGAAAGATAAAATACAAAGTTAAAACTTCTCTTTGAATTAAGACTTCAACAAAACAAGAGAAAAAAAAAAAAACAGGGAAACAAAACAGAAATCCTTTAAAACATAACTTATAGAGCAAATTTTCTATCTTGCATATAGAAGCAGATTGTAGCTAATATGATGCAAAGAACATATTATGTTTACAATAAATTTATATCTTTTTACATTATGTATTTAACTTAAAATTACACAGTATACACACAATTTGGCATTTCTAGTTCAACTCTTCTAGATAATTAATGAATACAAACAGTATCCCCTGTCCTCAAGATGTGAGACCCTCGCTCACCCCTGCCACGCACCCATACCTGCTCTGGCAAGGACCTGGTTGGCCTGGTCACTGACAAGCTGTGTGATCCTGGATCTCAGCGCATCCACTGTCTCCTGCATGGCTTTGATTCTCACCCGCAGGTTATTATTCTCAGTCTGTAGCATGGCATTCTCATGAAACATGTCATTGATGCTTTCCACTCCTTCCTCATCAATTATTCTTTTACCCTAAAGAGGGAAAGTATGTCTTGTGGTTGAGGAGCCTTGAACACACAGAGTTTTATTAAAAGATACCCCAGGATGATAAAATCCTATGACCCACAGCCCTTTTTTCTTACCAATCCCAAGGCATGGGGTCCTTTCCACTCTATCACAACTCTCCGTGGCACATGACTGACTAAAAATTGATTGGGTCGGAAGACTTTTGAACGTGTGTTTGGTCAGGTTACACTGAACATCATTAAAGACCACCCACAAGGCAGACTAGAGAACCCAACCTCCAAAGGCAAGGAGACACACATGTACAAACCATCATGAAACGAATCACTGGAAGTGCCATGAAATACAAGGTGCACTTACTGTTTTGTACTCCATGAGCTCCATCTGAAGCCGTGTGATCTCACTGCGGAGTGCGTTGATTTGTTGACTAGCTCTGTCCTGATTCACCATCACCTTGTTCTTGATATTTCTAGCTCTATTGGCGTACTTCAGGGTGTTCAGTGTTTCCATAAAATCTCTATCTGAAGGGCTGACGCATGCTATCATGATTGTTTGGCTGAAAGTTACAAATAACAGGTTTACAAATAAAAGCAAATAAAACACTAAGATAACAATTTACAAATCACTGCCATTAAATAGGATCTCTCTTCAAGTCAGAAAAAAAGATTAATGCTACTGACTTAAAAATAAAAGCAAACTTGGGGCTGGTGTTGTGGCATAGCAGGTTAAGTCTCCACCTGCAACGCCAGCATCCTGTATGGGCACCAGGTCGAGATCTGGCTGTTTCACTTCCAATCCAGCTCCCTGCTAATGTGCCTGGGAAAACAGAAGATGGCCCAATTCCTCGGGTCTCTGCACCCACGTGAGAGATCCAGAACAAGCTGTTTTCCTGGCTTCAACATTGCAATCACCTGGGGAATGAACCAGCAGATGGAATATATCTCTCTCCCCCTGCCCCCATAACTATATCTTTCAAATAAATTTTTAAAATCCTTATTAAAAAGAAAAGCAAACTCAAAAGCCCTCAAGCTTTAAGAATATCTTACAGACAAAGATTTTGTTTATTTGGGTAATATCAACGAAAATTAACTTCCGTTATCTTTCTTTGACCCCCTTTATCTTGAGAAAGTACAACTGCATATATGTTTCTTTCCACTTTACAAAGCACTTTTGAAGCAGTATACAACAGTTCTAAAATAAACTACCATGATAAATCAAAAGCTGTTCATTATTAACTTATTTTAGTATTCTAAGAATTTCTTCCCTTTTTAATAAGTGGTACCCTGACTCTTGATATCAGCAAAGAATTTCACACAAAATCCTATCACACTCAAGTGAGAAGAATGCTTGGCCTAGCCTCACTTTTCACAATATAAACCATCACTTGTGGCTGAATGATCAAAAGTCCAGAGTTTCTCACGGCCACGTCCCCAGAATCATTACTTTATGGTCTTGACAAACTGTTTCACCAGCCAAAGAACAGGACAGTGAAATGCTTGCCTTGCCCTGGCAATTATGTCTGTCAAGGAAATACATGGAGAGTCTAATGGGCATTCATCAATCTAAAAAAATAAAAATAAAAATAAATTGGGATGACAATGAAAGAGCTAATTTACCAATAGTAGTAGGAAATCAGTCCTAATCCAAAGATTGCCAAACTGGCTATAGCTTCCACTCACGTCTTCCCCAATCGACCCAAGACAGCATTGCTGTCCATTTATAAGGGGGCACGTTCTACATATTCCTCCTTCCCCAACCCCTGCTCACTCTCCCCATTAGTCTTAATATTCTTAACATCCAATTAAACTATCACCTGCATATATGTATCACAGATCATAACTTTGAATTTGGCAGTACCAGAGCTGGCGCTATGGTGTAGTGGGTAAAGCCACTGCTTACGGTGTGCTGCAAGATCCCCACATGGGCCCGGTTCAAGTCTCAGATGCTCTACTTCTGATTCAGCTTCCTGTTGATGTGCCTGGGAAAGCAGCGGAGGATGGCCCAAGTGCTGGGGCTCCTGTATCCCTATGGGAGACCCGGAGGAAGCTCCTGGCTCTTGGCTTTGGATTTGCCCAGCTCCGGCTGTTGCAGCCACTTGGGGAGTGAACCAGTGGATAGAAGACCACCCCTCATCTCTCTTCTCTCTACCCCTCCCTCTCTGTAACTCTTTCAAGTAAATAAATAAATCTTTTTTAAAAAATTAACAGTACCCTTTCTCTCTGCCTCTGTATTATTCATTACACTGTTGTTACTACCTTGACATTTTATAGACCCCCAACTCTTAGGCCCTAAGCCCCTGGAGGAGAGGGATCAGGGAGTTTTAATCAGCAGTGTACTTTAATATTGTTTGTGTTGTATGCTATATGTACATAATATTTATTGTGGATCAGAAAGTGAGGATAATTCACACCATTCCATCTGTCTCTTCTGATGAAGAAGATAAAGCAATCCATTAAGTATGAGGATTGTGTGTACTGATCACAACAGGGCAACTCCAAGTGTGGTCCCTATGCCACTCTGCAAATCATTTATTCTTGTCAACAATGAGTACAGAACTTGAGAGCAAGCATTTTAGAGACTTTTACATTTGGATTTCCTATCATCAATGAACTCATCTCATTGAACAGAAGACAGACCCATTCAAGGGTTTGCAAACTCACAGGGTAAGTCTCAAATGGGGCAAACAGTACAGGTGTGTACAGCATTAATCCACTGGGAAAGGGGAGACTCACCCTTCACAACATTTTAAGAAGCGCTGGGATCAAGAGCTGAAGAAGAATGTGAAGGCAACAGGAGCCAACCACAATCAACTACACAGGCAAAAGGCCACACAGTAAACCAACCTCAGAGCCATAATTACAAGAATGATTTCACTTATTAAAAACTCAATGAAAATATTAAAGCTGTTTGTTTTTATAGTTTACATAACAATCACAATTTTGTTTTTTAAAAGCTCTATCACTTAAATATATTATGGTATCTCTCATAAATTTTATATTTTAAGTTGTGCATCTGGAAAGAAATATATAAGAGTATGGGCAGTCATTACATTTACGTAATAGATGGAACTGACTTAATTCACGCTTCATGTGCTTCTGTATTTTCCAGAATTTCTGCTATAAACCTGTTATGATGTTTTATCAAACATTATAAATTTATAAATGCAAGTATTTTTCAAAAAATAAAATTATGCACATAAAAATATGAAACTTATTATCTTAAGTTTAAATTTTTTTTTTAAATGAACACATTTTGATTTCCAAGGTATACAAAGATAATGCTTGTGAACTAGGAGTTCAACCTTAAAATTTTAAGCAGAAATTGAGGTATGCCAAGGGTGGAATTAGGAGTGATATCCCCTGAGGAGTTACCACCAGTGACAGAAACGGTGAGAAATGTGTGAGACCATTTAGCCACAGGCTGTCTACAACTCTGCAGAAACGGAGCACCTGCAGTGACACTGTTGTAGACTGCCCACAGCGCAAGCAAACTTGAAGAAGCAGTGAAACATCGGAAACGCTGCAACATCTCAGGGAGGACCTGTCTCATCTCTGCTGTGTTTCAGTGAAGAAATAAATACAGGAAAGGGCTACAAATTAGAAAACTAGAAAAAACACACATTTTGATTAAAATAGAAATTCTTGTTCTGCTATAATAAGACACATGGGGACACGGAGGCTCAGACCAAAAATACAAAAGAAACATGTAGCAAAGGAAATAAATTATATTTTTACATAGAATTGATAAAGATGTAAGTTGAGAGAAGACCAATATTACATAAAAGGAAGAAATATAAAAATGAGACTGTTGGATTCTATAAAACAAAACTTTATTCCTAAACCAAACTGATGTAGAACCTAAATACACTTAACATTATCTAAAATTCTTGAGGGATAATTGTCCAAAAAAAAAAAGTTTGAAGTTTAATTACTAGACTATTAGCATCTTACGATTTTTCCAGTAAATATGATTTGTTAGACTGTTAAACACCATAAAATACACTCCTGTGAATGTCTGTAACTCCTTGAATTGTGCTACAATTGCATTTAAATGACAAAAATGTTTCCAGTTGCAAGGTCAACATGGTGACACTTATGGAATAGAATGCATTACTAAAAAGATGTGTTTAGTTGATTAAACACATCAGATCAATGCAAAGTATTAGAAAAGAAAAATTTCAGCAATACTGGCAAACTTATAAGCTAGAAAACACCCTATCTTTCCTTTCATTGACTTTTTTCTATGATTTATTTATTTATTTGAAAGGCGGAGTTACAGAGAAAGAGGCAGAGAGAGAGGTCTTCCATCTGCTGGTTCACTCCCCATATGGCTGCAAGGGCCGCAGTTGGGTGAATCCGAAGCCAAGAGCCTCTTCCAGGTCTCCCAGGCAGGTGCAGGGGCCCAAGCACTTAGGCCATCCTCCACTGCTTTACCAGGCCATAGCAGAGAGCTGGATTGGAAGTAGAGCAGCCGAGACCCAAATCAGTGCCAGTGTATGATGTCGGCGCGACAGGCAGCGGCCTTACCCTCTACGCCACAACCACAGACATTTTAACTGCCCCATTGACATTTTAAGACAAGTTTTCCACATACAAAGAAAAGTTTTAAGTTTTAGGAGACTTTGCAAAAAGATATAGATAATATTAGTTTGTGATTGCTTGGAAGGCAATATTTACTTTTTCCAAAAAAATTTTTTATGAAGTATCTACTGAGTTTGCTAAGCACTTAAAGCAGAAATGGTAGACGACAGAAACAGTACATATTACGGACTTCATTTACAAGCTACGTGATCTCTAATTATTTAGCCTGTCTGAATTCCAATTTTCTCATCTGTAAAGTAGAATAATAACATCCACCTCAATGGATGTCAAAGGATTACATGGAATAACAACATACAACATGATTCACATGTTATAGTCCATAATAACACAATTCTCAGCTCCCCATCCGATCCAGCTCTTATGACTCACCTTACATGCTTGCTTAAAAAATAATCAATAATCAAAATACAGGAATATGAATGGTCACCCCGTATCCATACCTGTTGCCCCCGAGGGAATCCTGCAGGAGTCTTGTCAACTTGGAATCTCTGTAGGGGACATGGGTGGCCCTCTTGCTCTTGTCTCCCAGGGCACTTATGACATTACCAAGTGCCAACTGAAAGAGAGGTGGGAAAGGAATCACACATTTCTGAATAAAGAAAACTTAGACAAAAGAAAATAAAGATATGACAAAAGCGAGAACACTTGTTTAGGCTTTGTTCTACATTTGTATTTTGAAGTATAAAGTAACTTTAAAGTTTTATGTTTTAACTATTAATAACTGACACCACTCCAAATTTGGTACCCTCCATGTACTAATTCACACATTCCCAAACTTCTATTCAAGATTTCCTCTAGTAATACACACGTTAGGAGATTGATAACTGCTAACCATCCCTACAGCATCAGGTTGTATCCCTAAAAAATGATCAATTCATGTTGCAAATTCTTCTCAACTCAAAGAAAAACTACATAGTTAGCTGAATGGTTCCATGAAATTTTCTTGCTGCAATACAGATCCCTTTTGGGAAAACAAAATCTCCTCTAAACACTATGTAAGTGTCAGTATGATCTCTCTGAACTGGTATTTCCGTGTAGTAAAGCTGTCCTTAGAAACACAAAGTATGCTAAGCACACACATCTACATCCAACCGCAGAGGTCATCCCTCCTCCGGCCACCCCTGCTGCCTTTCCCACTGTCATGGAACTGCCACCTCCAGCATCAGCACTGTGCAAAGCCTGGGTCACGCTCCACTTCAGCCACACAGCATGTATGGTCACGGCTCTGCTGGGCCGGGGTTGTGCCGGGAGGCCCACAGGGATCACACAGCGTCCTGGCCCCCATTTCCAGAGAAGCCAGTAACAGTCCTGAGCACGAAAACCCTGCCAGCTGTGTCTCACAGGCTTAACAGCCTCAACAGGAAAACCAAACAGCGGCTCTTCTTCCCTGAGAGTGCCTCCGTGATTTTACCTCTAAACAATAAAATTTGAAACAGCGCACAGAGTCATGTATCAGGTCACCCCCAACTACACATCATTCAGACATACACCAGGAGCATAAAGATGTGTCTTGGTGCTGGGAAGAAGTCTGGCTGTCTCTACTCAGCTTCGTGAGATAAATCCCTCAGACAGGTTGCAGTCATATAGTATTAAATGTTGAGCAACAACTTACAAAAAAAAAAAAAAGACCATGTATTTGGAGCCCCCAATTCCATGAGGGGAAGGAAGGAGAGCAAAGGCACACACCCTGAACTGTCAGCATCACAGGGATCTAGGGATGTCATTGCTTTTCTGCAGGAACAGATGTCTACTATTATAATACAAGGTGTCTTCCAATCAAAATACCACTAGGTGGCATGATATTAAAGTTAATTCCTAATACTTAGAAAAAAAATCTCATTTTGCAAATATTATTACTAAAAGACTTTTTATTCTAATTCCCAAAGTCAATAAAATAAATGTCATAAAATATGAGCAAAACACTACTTTGAAAGTCTTGACCCATGAAAATACTTAATATTAAAGGTAAATTTCGGCAGAATAATTTTAATGTGGAAAGATTTTTTAAATAACTTCTGTATGATTTTCTGCACATACCATACAATGCCATCCAACTGAATCACATATGTGAAGAGAATGGGCAATGTGGAGGAAAGCGAAAGGTCTACCCTGTGAGATGAGATTCACTGCCTTATTACTGAGCTGACTGGAACTTTCGGCTCCCAGTTCAGTGCATGAAGGTTTTCCACTGGGTGCTGTACACTACAAGGGAGAAGAGGAGAAGGGAAAGCCCTGACACTCCCAGCACGAAGCCTCGGTCTTACAAGCCCACAGTTGATGGAAATTCCTTCTTTGGCTCTCTCGCCTGTAGCTCCCGTTCGCTTCAGCCTTTCTGATCCTGCCAGATCAACAAAATGGAATTTTGCAGTCAGGGTTTCAAATTCATTCATCTGTGACGATTCAGAAATCATCTTGTTATCAGTTGCATTCTCCTGCAGTTAAGGAAAATAATTACAAATATTTTGTTAACATAACAATAAATACCCTCCAAGCCCATCTCGCCCTCATCCCATGCACATACACAGTCATAGCCAAAGAAGTAGGCATAAAAACAAAACAACACAAATGCAGAACACCTGCTGGCAAGTAAACACTTAAATCCAGAAAGAAGCTGGAACATCAGAACCCAGCAGATCTCAAAGGAGACTCTGCTTGTGTTGGTGAAGTGAAACCTGTCACACGTGGTCCTCAACAGCTAAGGGTCTCAGGGGACTACAGCCCGCACCAACAGCCACAGCACATTTTCTCATTATTGCAAACACATAGGCAATTCTTTATTTCCAAAGCTTACATGGCTGGCCAGCTTCAACATAAACAGGATCAGAAGAGAAAATGAGGAAAGGGAGGGATTCAACAAACTGAATCTGGCCCAGACACTCATACCCTCACTTGGCATGCATGTGATTTCAGGGAGATAAACAATGACTGCTTAAGTATTCAGCGCTAGTGACTTACGGCGTCCATCTGGGGACACATTCTGGTCTGACACACGTGAATGGTGAAAATGGCATGCGAGCGAGAGCTCTGCACATTCATCTGGGTACTGGCCGTGGTCCTGGACAGAGCCCCAAGCTTCAGACACTGCATCATCTGGAGGAGAGAAGAGCCCAGGATGTCACTTGAGCACTACTGTTACAACACGATAGCACAGGATCCGTAGGACGCGCCAACGGCTAAAGCCCAGCATACGAAGGGATTCAAAAGATGCTGGATTTTCACATTACTGTTCTGGATCCAGGCACCTTTTGAGCTGAACTTCTCAGTATAATAGTGTATTATCTGTAGGAGAGAACACTGAGATTCCATTGTCGGCCACTTGCTGACATGGGCAGCTTCCATTCCAAATCTGCGGCAGTGGAACACTTTGCAACGAACTGAGCAACCCCCTTGAATCACTCTGTTCCCTTAACTTCTGTGGAAACTTCTTTAGGAGCCATAACTTACGTAGACAAGTTGAAGCAAAAGGCACAAAACAACTGCCTTCTGAACCTTCAGTGACAATTATCTAATGCTTTTTCTGTACTTATGAAAAAAAAGCTATGCATACATCAACTTCAATTATTTTGATGTTATAATAATGTTCTGACTTCCTTATAACCCTGACATTTTTAGAACAATGCCCTGATATTAAAAAAATATGAATAAGGAAGACAAAATTTTAACTCCATGAATGATTAGGATATAAATTTCTTATCTTAGCCTTTAGCAGCCTATGATACCATCAACCACACTCTATTTTCACCACAACATAAACGTCACCTCTGATTCCGTATTCACAGTACGCGTTGTGACGCCTACAGTATAAATTCCTCCAGTTGAATCTTCATGAATCCTTATATTTGATTTTTTATTTTTTGAATCAATATCACGTGTAGTATCAAATAAGTCAAGGACCTCTTCATTATAGAGCTACCAAAAAGAAATATTAGAAGGTTAATTTTAGCAGAAATGCCTGGTGACTGTCATAAAACATGTGATAAATGTTATGTTTCAAACATTTAAAGTTTTTTTCTAATGACACATATTTTTTCAAAATAGCACATAAACAAACAAGAAAATTTTTATTACAAATAAAAAGTATATGCCATGTTTACTTACAGGAGTCAGAACGGTAAATGATTTAATCGTAACTAATGAGTTGAGGACTACCTAAAATGATAGACCAGTCTGCTACAGATGATAAGCAAAGTTCACACACATGGCAAGCTCCAACAACTGTTTACTAAATACATTAAGATAAGTGTGAAGTTTAGAGATTTTTAAGAATTTCTGTGGGTCTGGCACTGTGGCACAGGGGGTAAAGCCACTGCCTACAGTGCTGACATCCCATATGGGTGCCGGTTTGAGTCCTGGCTGCTCCACTTCTGATCCAGCTCCCTGCTATGGCCTGGGAAAGCAGTAGAAAATGGCCCAGGTCCTTGCGCCCCTGCACCCATGTAGGAGATCCGGAAGAAGCTCCTGGCTCCTAGCTTCAGATCGGCACAGCTCCAGCTGTTGAAGCTATCTGGGGAGTGAACCAGCTGATGGAAGACCCTTCTCTCTCTCTCTCTCTGCCTCTGCCTCTCTGTAACTCTGCCTTTCAAATAAATAAATCTTTTCTAAAAAATAGAATTTTTACTGCTTGATCTAAAAATACATTTCACATTGTATGAAAATCTTCTTAATGGATACTGAGTATCTGTGCAATGTCAGCAATAATTTTAATGTTTTTCCATCAGGGGTGGCTGACTAGATCTAGCCTGCTTCTTGGAGGAGGACACACAGTCAGGATCCTTTAAAGTCACGATGCCTAAACAAGGATTGAGGGGGCAACAGAGAAGGTGGAAGCACACAGTTACTTTCCAGCCCCTTGATTTACCTTCCCTTTGGTAGAAACTCAATCACATTTTCCTTGGTTTCTACTAAATGAGATTTTCACCAAAATCAGCGATAAGATAACTGATACTCATTTTTATGAAGCTTTCTATTCATGCTAAATGCAAAATAAAAAACTTCATCAAGGATCAAAATCATCAGCTCATGGATCAGGTACTCTAAACTAGAAACACTCTTTGGACCTAGAACCCAGAACCATGACGTCACTGTCACCCAACTGCCAGGTGGCTCTCATCCCACCTGCTCTCCTACCATCCTGTCTCCCCATCAGAACACAGCCCCAACCAGTGGACACTGCATCCAAGCTGTCTGGCAGGACACCAGTTTCTGCAAGCAGATTAGTTCTACAGCCTCAATCCTATTACTTCTCACATTCTCCCCTCCCTTTTAGTCTTAATCACTGAGTTCCCAGCACTTGTCTGTGTAAATCATAGCAGGTAACTACTTTTAGTTCTTGATAAAGAGGGATTCTGAAATGAATAATACTAGCTGTTCTTTGACTCTGTGAACAGTCAAGTGTTTTAATCTTTTACTATTTTTTAAAGATGTATTTATTAATTTATTTGAGAGGTAGAGTTACAGATAGAGAGGGAGATACAGAGAGAAATGTCTTCCATCTGCTGGTTCACTCCCCAAATGGCAGCAATGGCCAAAACTAGGCCAATCAGAAGCCAGGAGCCAGAAGCTTCTTCCGGGTCTCCCACATGGGTGCAGGGGCCCAAGTACTTAGGCCATCTTCTACTGCTTTCCCAGGCCATAGCAGAGAGCTGGATCAGAAGCGGAGCAGCCAGGACTAGAACCAGCATTCCTATGGGATGCTGGCACCACAGGTGGAAGCTTAGCCCACTACTCCACAGCACCGGCCCCTCATTATTTATTTATTTATTTATTTATTTAAAAGGCAGAGAAATAGAGGCAAAAACACAGAGGGAGACCTCCCAACTGCCGGTTCACTCCCCAAATCACAGCTGTAGCTAGGGTTGGGTCAAGTCAAAGCCAGGATCTGAAAACAGTCTGGATTCCTCATTTGGGTGGCAGGAATCCAAGTACATGAGCTATCAACTCTTTCCTCTAAGGGTGCACATTTTCAGGAAACTAGAATTAGGAGCAGAGCCAGGACTCAAACCCAGGACTTCTGATATAGGATGGAGGAATCCCATGTGGCATCTTAACCATGGGCCAAACACCTGTCCCAGGTGTTTATAATCTTACATGCTTCAAATACAGAACATGTTCTACCTGTTACCTAATGCCAATTCAGTCAAACAGCAATTATTAACTACTACAGGCAAGGCGCTGAATTAGAGACCAAGAATAAAAAATCATACTGGCTTATGGTCTTAAGGACAACACTTAAGTAATGATACATCTAGATGATTACCTCTAAGAACTGGGCATTCACTTTAAAATCTGGAGGAGGTAGTCCATTCTTAATTGCTGTGTGCTTCTTTTCTTCAATACTCTTGAAAAGGTGTTTAACAGCGCGAGAAATAATACCCTGCTCCTCCTCCATGATGTTAACATCAAATCCTGTACCCATAGTGTATGTCTTCCCAGCTCCAGTCTGAACAGAAGGATGGAGAGAACAAACATTCAACCTTAGCACAACCTCAAGATATAAAAATGAAACGCACAACTACATGGGCACTTCCGAAAAGCTCCAATACCCGTGAAAACAGCACAGTACTTACTTGTCCATAAGCAAACACAGTAGCATTGTATCCTTCAAAACAACCTTCGATCAGTTTTTCAATACACTGAGTGTAGATCTGCTGCTGCTGGGAGTCAATGTCAAACACGTAATCAAAAGTGAAAGCCTTATCTTTCCCGAGGAAGACCTGGGGTTCTCCTGGTGTGACAGACGTACAAATGTGGCATCCTTCAATCTTTTCTTTGGCAAGCTGTGGTCTTATTCTGTAACAAATAATCAGAAATGACTTAAGTTGTTTAAAAAGCAAGAAAGAGGAGTTAAACATTGTTGGCCAACTCATTTAAAACCACTAATCACACCCAATTATTTCAGTTTATGAGATGATTTACTTAACAGTCCCATGGAGTTACTTACCATTCTCCAAAAATTATCAACAAAAGTAAAATTCACTTTTAAACCATTATGCAGATGAATATTTTCCTCAATTCTGTAAGGAGTAGACACTCAGTCAAATAAATTCTGCTACCAAGATGCCACTCATCATCACTCTGTAAATTTCCTCTCTTCATTTCCAATGACAAAATGGAAATGTAAGGATATAATATCCATCATGATGGCCTGATGCCCTCGACTCCCCCCCCTTCTTTTTTTTGCAAACTCTGCATCAGTGGTATTTAAATTTATTTGACCATTACCTACTGGCAGCTGAACATATATAAGGATATTCCTGGCCGGCGTTGCAGCTCAATAGGCTAATCCTCCGCCTGCAGCACAGGCACCCCGGGTTCTAGTCCCGGTCGGGGCTAGAATTTCCACTTTGACCATGGCCTTGTCTAAATATGATCAGAGTCAGTGAACTCAGGGGGCTTCCATAGCCTTGGCAGCTCATGACAAGAGCCTAGGGTGATTACTGATGCCATAAACAAGAGTGTCAATTTGTTAAGTCAACAACAGGAGTCACTGTGCACTTACTCCTCATGTAGGATCTCTGTCCTTAGTGTGCTGTACAATGAGATTTAATGCTGTAACTAGTACTCAAACAGTATTTTTCACTTTATGTTTCTGTGTGGGAGCAACTGAGGAAATCTTTACTTAATGTATGCTAAACTGATCTTCTGTATATAAAGAGAATCGAAAATGAATCTTGATGTGAATGGAAGGGGGGAGGGAGTGGGAAAGGGGAGGGTTGCGGGTGGGAGGGGCATTATGGGGGGGGAGCCATTGTAATCCATAAGCTGTACTTTGGAAATTTATATTCATTAAATAAAAGTTAAAAAAAAAGTAGAAGAGAAACAATAAAAAGGATGGAAGAAAAAAAAAAGAGTATGTTGAATGGCCGGCACTATGGCATATTGGGCACCAATTCGAGTCCCAGCTCCTCCATTTTATTTTTTTTTTAATTATTATTATTTTTTTTTTAGCGATAGAGATAGAAAGTGAGAGAGAGAGACAGAGAGGAAGGTCTTCCTTCCATTGGTTCACCCCCTAAATGGCCGCTACAGCCGGCGCTACACCAGTCTGAAGCCAGGATCCAGGAGCTTCCTCCTGGTCTCCCATGTGGGTGCAGGCGCCCAAGCACTTGGGCCATACTCTCCTGCCCTCCTGGCCCACAGCAGAGAGCTGGACTGGAAGAGGAGCAACCGGGACTAGAACCCGTCGCCCATATGGGATGCCGGTGCCGCAAGGCGGAGTGTTAGCCAAGTGAGCCACGGAGCCAGCCCCTGGCTCCTCCACTTTCAATCCAGCTCTCTGCTATGGCCTAGGAATGCAGTAAAAGATGGCTCAAGTCCTTGGGCCCACACACCCACATGTGAGACCTGGAGGAATCTCCTGGCTCCTGGCTTTGGATCAGTACAGCTCTGGCCACTGCAGTCAATGGGGGGAATGAACCAGCTAACAGAAGATAACTCTCTCTCTCTATGGCTCTCTCTCTCTCTTTCTCTGCCTTTGTAACTCTGCCTTTCAAATAAATAAATAAATCTTTTTAAAAGAAAAAGTACATTGATGCAATAATTTCCTCTTGATGTTGCTCTCTTTTGATAAGGATAAATCCTCAGCAATGTTTGTTTGCTCTAAAGGAATGCAGCGATCAGTATGCAGATGGCCAGGTGGTGGGGGAAGAGCAACAGAGCTATCCTCGGAGGACATGGGTACTCCTACTCCTGCCCCTACAGATGTCCACGACCTCCTCTCACAGCGCCAACCTCCTCATCTATGGAGGGAAAAGATAATTTTCGAAATTCCTTACAGATCTAACACTAACTATAGGTTACTATATTACAGAAAAAGAAGTAAATAATACTATGTGCTGTCGTACAAATAAAATGATATTATAAGAAATAAGGCCAGCGCCGTGGCTCACTAGGCTAATCCTCTGCCTTGCGGCACCGGCACACCGGGTTCTAGTCCCAGTCGGGGCGCCGGATTCTGTCCCGGTTGCCCCTCTTCCAGGCCAGCTCTCTGCTGTGGCCAGGGAGTGCAGTGGAGGATGGCCCAGGTCCTTGTGCCCTGCACCTGCATGGGAGACCAGGAGAAGTACCTGGCTCCTGCCATCGGATCAGCGCGGTGCACCGGTTGCAGCGTGCTGGCCGCGGAGGCCATTGGAGGGTGAACCAATGGCAAAGGAAGACCTTTCTCTCTGTCTCTCTCTCACTGTCCACTCTGCCTGTCAAAAAATAAATAAATAAATAAATAGAAATAAAGAGTTCTTTTCCTAAAGTTTTATTATTTTATTTATTTGAAAGGCAGAGTTACAGAGAGGCAGACACACCCACACACATAGAGTGTAAACAGGATTTACTCCCCAAATGGCCACAATCCCTATGCTGGGCTGAGCCAAACCAAAGTCATGAACTGGGAGCTTCATACCGGTCTCCCACGTGGGTACAGGGGCCCAAGTACTTGGGCTATCTTCCACTGCTTTCTCAGGTGCATTAGTGGTGAGCTGGATTGCAGGTGGAGCAGCCAGGACTGGAAATGGTGCCCACATGGGATGCCAGTGTCGCAGGCAGAGACTTAACTGGCTCCACCACAACACCAGCCCCAAGAGTTCCTTATAAGAGCAACTTCAACGGACTAGAAGAACTGCCCATGGGAGCAGCAGCTTCAGGTTTCTGGTCCCACATATTCTTAAACAGCGGTGTTTCTCAAATTAATCTCCTCTTTCCAAACAGCTCTTCCCTTTTGTCCAGCTATGGTGAGGAAACCATCACAGAACCCCAGTCCTCTTTGGGAGAATTGCCATCTTGATGCTTAAAAAATATTTTTATGGCCGGTGCCATGGCTCACTAGGCTAATCCTCTGCCTTGCAGCGCCTGCACACCGGGTTCTAGTCCCGGTCGGGGCGCCGGATTCTGTCCCGGTTGCCCCTCTTCCAGGCCAGCTCTCTGCTGTGGCCAGGGAGTGCAGTGGAGGATGGCCCAAGTGTTTGGGCCCTGCACCCCATGGGAGACCAGGAGAAGCACCTGGCTCCTGCCATCAGATCAGCGCGGTGTGCCGGCCGCAGCGCCCCAGCCATGGCGGCCATTGGAGGGTGAACCAACGGCAAAAGGAAGACCTTTCTCTCTGTCTCTCTCACTCACTGTCCACTCTACCTGTCAAAAAAATAATAAAATAAAAAATTTTTTTATTTTATTCATTTGAAAAGCAGAGTTACAAGGCAAGAGACAGAGGGAGAGACAGAGATCTTCCATCTGCTGGTTCACTCCCCAAATGGCTGCACAGGCCAGGTCAAAGCCAGGAGTTAGGAGCTTCTTTTGGGCCCCCCTCATGGGTATAGAGCACTTGGGCCATCTTCTGTTTTCCAGGTATATTAGCAGGGAGCTGGATTAGAAGTGGAACAGCCCGGACTCCAACCACTGCCCACTGGATGCCAGCACTGCAGGGCCAGTATAACCTGCTACACCACAACACTGGCCCTGCCATCTTGATTCTTGCTAACCCAGAAAGAGCAGAACCAGAACCAGCTGGCACTGACATCAGTCCCTCCCTCTTTCCATCAACACAATCTGTGTCCAGGAGCTCGGGTTATCTCTGAAACAGCTCTTCAGCCTAGTGAGCTCCCTCCTGCCCCATCAACAGCGAGCTAATCAAGGCCATCACTACCTCTTGGAATACTGCAGACACCTCCTTATCATCCCCTTGACTCACACACTGTAACATCAGCGACACATAAACACATGAAGCTGATCATCAGAACATTACTCTGCTTAGGACCCTTCAGTGAGTCCCTAAATCCCTGTGCGTTTGCCATGCTCCATCTGTGCACTAAAGGATTTTGCTTGGTGGTCATGGAGATGGTTTATTCATTCTAATCAGTTTCACTAATGAGCTATAATCTCCCTTGTTTCCATGCCTTCAAAAGCATTGCTTCCTCTCCCTCCACTCTTCTCCACCCTCTCAATTCCCGGCTCCTTCCCAGCCTGAACATCTCACGTCTTTTGGATGCTCCCATGAGTTTTGCATCCCAAATAAAGTTGTATCTGAGCTCATGCTCTTCTCTCTCCTGAAATCTGCCATATCAACCCCAGCTCTCTGTTCTCTGAGGCTTTAGGACTGTGTGAAGCCACAAGTTCCACAGAGTGAAACAGACAAAAGCAAACACAACTGTCTAAATGGAAACAAGCACTAGCTACTGTGTGAAAGCAGTGTCTTGCTAATTTTAAGTAAATGGCTACAACCATAGGCTAATGTATTTGGCTCTTAAGATACTTTTCATTTCATTTCAATAGAGCAAAGAAAAACTAGAAGTATAGATCTCACAGCCAATTTTACAACAGCAGTATCACTTAGAATGTCTGCAAATCTCGTACCCTCTCCCCAGCAGATAATATTATCCATGATAACAGCGAGCAGGATTCCCTTTGAAACACAGATGATCCCCAGTTCCAGCCACTGGCAAAGGTAGAGGACACAATGTGGTTTCCATGCTTGCAAGACAGTCAGGCTGCTTTTCTACTGGATTCTGGCAGCAGCAGTTTCCCAGGGGGTCTGAGATAGTCCCACCTGGGAGAGTCTGTTCTCCCACACATGCAGATAACTGGAGGCTGACTATACTTCAAAAGCTAGGGATATATATGCCTTTTCATTTCCCCTCAAAACTTAGCATTTTAAATTCTCCAAATCCCTAAATTTATAGTCAAGAATTCTCAAATGAAGTCACAACTCAAACCAATTCACCTGCTTAAAAACATAGACTTTGAAATCTACCCAGTTATACTTTAACTTGAAAACTATCATTTTTTATTATGCATAGACAAAACAT